ACCCTCTCCTCTCCTCTCCCCTCCCCTCCCCTCCCCTCCTTTCCTTCTTTCCTTTCCTAAATGAAGGTATAACCACCTATCTCACACAAAGTAACTCTGGCAGCATACAATAAAACTAACAATTGAAAGTTATTCTCTTTCCATTCTTACCATTGTGCATTGTGGGAGCTGAGTCTTTCCATGATCTGTTAAACATACAACAGTCTGAGCCTGTGCTTTGAGTAAAAGTTCTGGATTGATTTGTTCTATGGCCTGGAGTTTGTTTGTTTTTTTCCCCCTAACTATTTATGGTATCCTCACAATGTATTTTTTATTTATTTATTTTAATTTTGATTTATATGCTGCCCTTCTCCAGAGACTCAGGGCGGCTTACAATGCGTTAAGCAATAGCCTTCATACTTTTGTATATTTATACAAAGTCAGCTTATTGCCCCCACAAACCGGGTCCTCAATTTACCTACCTTAGAAAGGATGGAAGGCTGAGTCAACCTTGAGCCTGGGGAGATTCGAACTTACTTTAATTGCAGACAGCTGGTGTTAAATTACAGTGCCTTGTCTGCAGAGCTATCCAGGCTCCTGGATAGCTCTGTATTGGTAGTATTGATAGGAAAGGTAGGCAAAAACATTATTTATATTGTCACTGGAGCAAATTACAAGATATTCAACATGTAATCTTCACAATTAATGCTTGGACTAATGATTTCAAACTGATTATGGTTCACTCCCATAAAATAAGAGCTAGGTTTCACCCCTTTATTTGAAAAAATAGGAAGGTTCACTTTCTGTGGCAGATTTCCTTCTCATGTTACTTTTGTGTTTGCTACTGGCCAAGGTAGCTCTAGGGATGGATCATTCATCCATCCATCCATCCATCCATCCATCCATCCATCCAATCAATCAATCAATCAATCAATCAATCAATCATGTGTCTAGGTCCTAATGCTTCTTTTTTTTGGTCCCAGGTATGTGTTGGATCTTTTATTTTAAAACTCCAGGATAGGAAAACAGACTCGGCATTTTCATAGCTACACAATGCTTCTTGTACCATTTTTTTCTCCCGGTCAGCTTTACCTAAAGCATCATTTACCTAAAGTCACAAGAATCACACAGATAACACTATACATTTGTCTTGGCTAGTGTTAGAACAAAAACATAGATGTTATTATAGATAAATGTATGTTTAAGAGATAAATAAATATACAGAAATAAGGGGGAAGTATTAATATCATATCATATTATGTTTAAATAGTGAACAAAGCTTAAGAACTATATGTTTATATGAGTACTAATATTATTGTAAAGTGACGGAAGATGTTTGGAACCAGTGGAGTCATATCTAAGTCCAATGTTTTTTTTAAATTTTTGTATTATTAATACAAAAAACCTTTTTAAAATTAAAAAAAAAAAGAATCACACAGATATTTTGAATGGATCACTTGGGAGAGGACTAAGAGATTATTTGATACTAAAATGTGTTCCTTCTACATGGGCTGCAGGTGGTCCAGAATGTAATAACTCAGGTAGATATGAGTATTAATTGGTCTGCTCTTAGCACTGCACTGGTTTGGTTACCATTTGAATTCTGGGTGCCACTCATGGTGCTGGATGTTACTTGTAAACCTTACTTGAAAACCCTTCTCAGCTCAGGACCTGAGAATCCACTTAGGAACCACCTTCTCCCAGTGGCTTTTCCTTGTGCGGTAGGTTGGGTGGTTTCCCTTAGGAACAGAGGTGGTATTCAGCCGGTTCGAAACGGTTCAGGAGAACTGGTAGTGGTGACCTGCGCCGCCCCACCCCACCCCACCCCCGCCCACCTGCCCTGGTACAATCCCGTCCTATATCACTGTGTTTTTGACGTCACACACATGTGACGGCGCATGTGAGCGAATTGCCATGTTTTGTGATGCCGCACGCATGCACAGATGCACACACACTCACATTTCCAGTGCTGGGTGAACCGATTGCTACAGTATGTGAAGCCCACTGCCTGCTTAGGAACCTACCTTTTGGGAAGATCGCTACTTTGGGGACAAGCTTCCTGTGTCACTTTCCCCCTCCCAAACTCCACTGTTCTGGAATAGTTCTCCTGCTGGATACCTTCTGCTTTTTAGTGTTCTGTATGGCAATTAAAACTTAACTGTTTCAACAAACTTCAGGGATCTGAAACATCTCTTATGGGAATGTTTATTGATTATGGGATTTCCCAGCACTACGTTCTTCTGGTTTGTCTTGGGGTACCGTATTTTTCGGAGTATAAGACGCACCTACCTTTTTTGGTGAGGAAAACAAGAAAAAGAAATCTGCCTCTGCCTCAGTGGTGGGTTCCTCCTGGTTCCTCCCGGTTCCGCTGAGCTAGTAGCGGTGACAATATGATGTCACTGAACCGGTTCTGCCCCCCCCCGCCCCCCACGCATTATTCTTACCTTTTATTTGGCCCCACCCCCAATCTATTGCTGCCTCTTGAGTCCCAGCTGATCGGCTAGAGGGAAAAAAACTGTTTAAATTCTTGCCGTGGGGCTTCAAAGGACCGCCCTACAGCTGATCAGTGTTAAAAGGCAGTGTGGTGGTAGACCGGTGCCTCCAAAAACAAATGACTAGACCGGTGCCTGCAAAAATAAATGGGTAGACCAGTGCCTCCAAAAACAAATGAGTAGACTGGTGCCTCCAAAAACAAATGAGTAGACCGGTGCTTCCAAAAACAAATGAATAGACCGGTACAGCTCTGCAAGCAGTTAAAAGCCTGGTAGACCACTACCTCTGCTAAATCCTAAAGAATTGTCACATGGCCATCAAGCCATGTCCACAAAATAAGCCACGCCCACAGAACCGGTAGTAAAAAAATTTAGAACCCACCCCTGCTCTGCCTCCCAGCAATTTTGCCTCGTTGCAGCAAACAGCAGAGGCCGGCGCAAAATAGCTGTGAACAAAACAGCTGAGAGTCGGGAGGCCGATCCAATCAACTTGTGCTAATTAGGCTGTGCTGAAGCTGAAAGGAGCTGTTACTTCTTAATGCTTGCTACAAGGAGGTAACTGCTGCTTAATGCTGCTACAAGGAGGGAAGCAGAGGCCAAAGGGAGGGGGGCAGTGGGTGGACGGGGCTACATTCGGTGTATAAGATGCACCTAAATTTTCACCTCCTTTTAGGATGGAAAAAGGTGCGTCTTATGCTCTGAAAAATATGGTAATTGTTATTCTGGATTTTATTGTTTTTATGACTGTTTCTTTAAGCTAATTACTGCAAGGTATATGGAAGCTACTCTGAGTCACTTGCTGACTAGAGCTTTGCATCTAGTAAAGATATAGATGAAGTTTCCACCGAGATGCATAATCAGGCTCAAAAATCATAAGCTTGTCTCTGAAAACAGATCCACTCTGAAAGCAAGAAGATAATAGCAGTAGGTGGTCAACTATTTGTACAAGGGTAATAATGCAGCATTGTGACAGCATTACATTGCTTTCGGCATTTGAACAAAAGCATTGGATCCTTCCTGTGGATTCTTCTGCATCAAAACCAGCTTGTGCACAATCAAGTAGAACTGTAATAACTCGGGGGGGGGGGGGGGGAGACTCTTGACTTCTGCCTGACAATTGGCAGAAGGATAGGGGGACCTCTAGCGGTGAAAGAGTATCCTGCAACTAAATTTTAAACACATTCTCAGTAAATGACAGACATGAAAAAAGTGATAATGCTAAAACATTAAGTATATCAATAAACAAAGCAGTCAATAGATAATGAGCAAACTAAATAGAAGCCATCTAATCTTGATTCTGGTACCGTCAACACACAAAGGAGTGAATAGCTATGTCCTAGGGCAGAGGTGGGTTTCAGCAGGTTCTGACCAGTTCTGGAGAACTGGCAGCGGAAATTTTGAGTAGTTCGGAGAACTGGAAAATACCACCTCTGACTGGCCCCACCCCCATCTATTCTCTGCCTCCTGAATCCCAGCTGGTTGGGAAGAAATGGGGATTTTGCAGTAACCCTCCCCTGGAGTGGGATGGGAATGGAGGTTTTACAGTATCCTTCCCCTGCCATGCCCACCAAGCCATGCCCACAGAACTGGTAGTAAAAAAATTTGAATCCCACCACTGCCCTAGAGCATAACCACACTTAGTTTTAGTGGCTCCAGCCCTGTGGCCATGCTGGCTTGACTCTAATGTGCCTTTTAAAAAGTTCTGTCCAGAGTGAGACATTTTGGCACCCACATGCCAATATTTAGTCCAGACTAGGTTTAGGTTTAGGTTTATTTGATTTGTATACCGCCCTACTCCCGAAGGACTCAGGTAACTATTGGATCATTCGCCAATAATTGTTAATGTATGTATAGGTATATTCAAGACAAATTATTTAAAACATCCCCCGCCTCTGCAAGAAAAAATATTCTGTGACAACTATTGGATTTGTCCTGCAAAAACAGATATCAGCACAGGGGTGTTATAATGCTTACAAACATGCATAGCACAGTTGGACTGTGTCATTGGTTTAATTCAATGTTTCTCAACCTGAATATGTGTGGACTTCGACCTCAGAATTTCCCAGTCAGATAGAGATGGAGATAGAGAAAGAGACAGAGACAGAGCAAGAGAGAAGTTGGGGCGGGGGGCCATAGTTAGACAGAGAGAGAGAGAGTGAGAGAGAAACAGAGACAGAGACAGACAGAGACACACAGAGAGAGAGAGACACAGAGAGAGACACAGAGACAGACAGAGAAACAGATTGGAGGAGAAAGAAGAAGAAGAAAAGTAATTTGAACAAAGAATTAAGGAAAAGGAGAGGTGTAGAAGGGGAAGGACAGGAGAAAGTCAGAGGAAGAAGAAACAAACTACAGGATCTGAAGAAAAAGTCCCAAAAGAAATTAAGCATCTAAGTTTAAATCAGACTTCCCTCAGATGATATAAACACTTCCCCCACAGATAACTCTTTTATGTCAATTCAGTTTCTTGCTGTTTTGAACTTCTGCATGTTTGTTCCTCTGGTAAATTAAATTCAATGATTTTGGATATTATAGCCACTATTATTTCTTTATTTCAGGTACTTTTATGTCATTTCCAACAGATGTATCCAAGCAATTTACAAAAGGTGTGGGAATAATATTAACTGAAATAAATATCCTTAAAAGTCCAACATCAACAACAATAATAATAATAATGACTAATGCTAACATACGTCCTCCGTACCTACTCCATCACCTCCTCAATCCCCAAGAATTGTTTTTCAGATTCCCTTTTGGATGAAAAAAAGAGGAGGGGACTCATTTAGAGATAAGGGGCTTTATGATAGAAAAATTGTAGAAAGGCAACATCGCATGAAATTACAGGAATAAGCCATGTCTATTCCATATCCAAAGATCCATTTGGGAACATTTTTCTGATGCAGGAATGATGATGTCTCAGAGGGTGAAAATGTGTTAAAGAGAAGAGAATAGCATAAGTAAAGAATGTCCCAAAGGTGCTTTTTCAAGAGGCAACTGGATTTTTTGGTTTTTCTTTGAAGACATTTCATTTCTCATCCAAGAAGCTTCTTCAGCTCTGAAGAAGCTTCTTGGATGGGAAGCAAAACATCTTCAAAAAAACCCAAAAAAATCCAGTTGTCTCTTGAAAAAGCACCTTTGGGACAACCATGACCTGGATGACTGAGAATCTCCATAGACATAAGTAAGGAATAGCATCACCTGGTTGTCCCATTTCAGATTAAATGCTTTGTGTGGAACTGGCCCTAGAGGTGTGAAAAGGTCTCAATGGCCAGAAGAGAAAGACTTGACTGATCTTTGGCTGGTTGGATAATGAGGGGAGCATCATTGAGACCCCCAGCCCGGATTCCAGGATAGAAGTAAGGTCGAAGGGTCTCAGAGAAGGAATCCAAGAAGGTAAATATGTGGGAACCGGTATCGCTATTATAGAAAGAAACCTCTCCTGCGTCATAGTCCAGGAAGATACCAATCAGCTTTGGCTTTGCTCTGAGCACTAGTTCTGTGAGTGGAGAGGTAAGTGCTGCATACTCATCCCCATTCCTCAGCCATATTGTCCAGAACCCATTTGCCGGCGAAGGGGTGAAGATACCTTGGCGGCTCACTGATTCTTTGCACACTCCTAGTGTCCAGCTGGACTTGCCTTCCACGCACACCACCCAGTAATGTCTTCCAAAGGTGAATTGCTCACGGCCCATTAAACAAGTGCATGTTTCAAAGCGAGACGAGCTCTTGGGCAGATCTTGCCTTTGATCCACCACTTGAACGCTGAGGAGGTCCTTGGATAAGAGCAGGTAAGGATTAGCTGTATCCGGATCAAAGGTCACCGATGCTGAAAGCAGAAATAGAGACCATCAGGACTGCTCTTGTTTTTCCAGCCATAAGAAAGGAAGGTATACCATTGTCAGGTTTTGGGCCAGACTTTTAATTTGCCCCTCCCAGTCCCAGATGATCTTGTGATGCTAGGAGGAAAACCTGTCCAAATCCCTGAGATCCAGGGTCAAGTGAGAACTTGAACACATAACCTAATCCAGTACATTAAGCCAAGGGTGTCAAACTCGATTTCATTGAGGGCCGCATCAGAGTGGTGTTTGACCTTGTGGGGTGGGCGTGGCCAGACATTGCTTGACAGTGCTCGTGTCAGGGAGGCCTGTGGCAGCCCAAGCACTCTGCCAGCAAAAACGGGATCCTGAGCTCTGTTTTCAGCTGCGACGGCCTCCTGCAACCGTCTGCCAGTGAAAACAACTTGGGGGTGCCACCCGCGGCCCTAGTGACCTTGTGGGGTGGGCGTGGCCAGAGTGGGCATGGCCAGCTCAACATTGCTCATGTCAGGGACACCTGTGGCAGCCCAAGCACTCTGCCAGCAAAAACAGGATCCCAAGCTCTGTTTTCGCTGGCAGAGGCACTGCGAGCCGGTCCTTCACTGTTTCCAGTGCAGCTCCTCAGGCCAGATCTAAGCATCCCATGAGCCGGATGTGGCCCCTGGGCCTTGAGTTTGACACCCCTGCATTAAGCCCAGCATGACATAAGCACCTCTCAATTACCATTGTATCTTTGCAATGACTCCATCAAGCCAGGAACATCATAGGCGTCTTGCAATTCCATCGAAATAGGCTGTGGTTCTTTCAGGGATAGTCCTTCAGTCCTGGGGAGAAATAGCAATAGCGCTTAGACTTATAGACCACTTCACGGTGCTTTACAGCCCTCTCTAAGCGGTTTACAAAGTCAGCATATCGCCCCCAACAAGAGCCTTGGTGGCGCAGTGGACTAAGTGCTGTTAAAGTAGTACTTAGCTGCCAGCTGCCTGCAATTACTGCAAGTTCAAATCTCACCAGGCTCAAGGTTGACTCAGCCTTCCATCCTTCCGAGGTAGGTAAAATGAGGACCCGGATTGTGGGGGCAATAAGCTGACTTTGTATAAAAAAGAACACTGCTTATGGGAGGCCGAAAGCCCTACTAAGCAAGTATATACAAAAGTATGAAGGCTATTGCTTAACGCATTTTAAGCCGCCCTGAGTCTCCAGAAAAGGGCGACATGTAAATCGAACTAATAGATAGATAGATAGATAGATAGATAGATAGATAGATAGATAGACAGACAAACAAACAAACAAACAAACAAACAAACAAACAAACATACAATCCGATTCCTCAATTATCCCACAGGAATTAAAAGCAGGTAGTTCTTGATATACAAGAATTTGTTCAGCAACTGTTCAAACTTACAGTAGCCCTGAAACAAGCCCTGAAACAAACAACAATATGACGATTGGAGCATCCCCACGGTACCTGTGATCAAAAATTCAGGCTCTTGGCAACTAGCCTGTATTTATACAGTTGCAGGATGCATGTGTTTGCCATTTGTGACCTTCCTTCCCAGCTGGCTTCCAACAAGCAAAGTCAGATTCACTTAACGACCTCATGATTCACTTAACAACTGCAGTGATTCACTTCACCGTCACAAAAAAAGGTTGTAAAATTGGTCACAACTCACCTAAACAACTGCCTTGCTTAGCAACAGAAACTTTGGGCCAATTGTAGTCCTAGGTTGAAGGCTACCTATAAACACAAGCCTTTCTCTGGAAGCAAACTTCAATCAGGATTTATTACAAAACTAAACCTGCAAATAATTGTCCAAATTTAGTATACTAACCTGGTTAAGGTCCTTTTCACATCCTAAGAGAAAAAGACAAAAAATATGATAATTGCTTTAGTATTTTTTTTTTTAATGTTGCTGCAAGAACTTATAAAGAATCCTATTGTTAATGCTGCTCTATCAAACGTTATACGACAGGGGTGTCAAACTCGATTTCATTGAAAGCCACATCAGGGTTGTGTTTGACTTCGGGGGGCCAGGATGGGCATGGCCAGCTCAACATCACTCATGTTGGGGGCACCTGTGTTGGCCTGAGCTCTCTGCCAGTGAAAATAGGCTCCCAAGCTCCGTTTTCAGCTACAACGGCTTCCTGCAACCCTTTGCCAGTGAAAATGGAACTCAAGAGGGCTACCTGCGGCCCAGGGGTGGGTTCTACTTACCTTTACTACCAGTTGGCAATAGGGCCGCATGTGCTCTCTTCTGCGCATGCGCAAAAGCATTCTGATGATGTCAGGGTCGGTGGGCGGAGCCTCCCGACAGTTTTTCTACCAGTTCTATAGAACTTCCATGGCGGCCCCGCAGGCCAGATCTAAGCACCCTGTGGGCCGGATCCAGACCCCGGACCTTGAGTTTGACACCCCTGTTATAAGATCTATTGTTATTTTTTGGGGGGAGGATAGATATTTTGTTTCTAGTCCTCAAGGTTCTAAGGAACAAAGTCCAGTTAAAATGTTGGGGGGGGGAGGGAGGAATGATGCTTTCAGCAGCTTTGCCGTTTTCTTAAAACAGCAAAGCGTCCCTCAGATCTTCTAAAACATCAGAAGTTATCCCTCAGATAACATAGGGTTTAGCACAGGACTTGGATATTCTAGGATATATGCAGTTCATAGCTTATCAATCACTTTGTATGCTACCTCAATTCCAAAGTCGTATTACTCAGAAAAAACATATGATGCGATGGCAACCACAAAATTGAAGAAGCTTCCCCAGAATCCAGTCCCATTACAAATGTAATAATGCAAGCTTCTAACTGTTGGAACTGTAAAATTCTAGAGATGGCAATGAACCAACATTGCCTTCTGTTAATTTTATATTCTATCCTTTTGCAGCACCAGTTCTGGAACAATTTCATGATTAATTATACAAGAAATGTAGAAAAACAACATGAAAAGAGAGTTACAAGAAATTATTGATCTCTTTCGCAAGGAGTCCCTGCCAATATTACTATTGTACTGTTTACTGTGGTTCTGTTTCCTCCAGTAGTGGGTTTCAAATCCCGTTGCTACCGGTTTGCTTGTGGGCAGAACTGCCCACTACTGCTGCTACCAGTTCGCCCAATTCAGGGCGAACCGGTAGCAACCCACCACTGGTTTCCTCCCCACCAAAGTGGTACCTATTTATCTATTCACATTTACATATATTTATTCACATTTACATGCTTTCAAACTGCTAGGTGGGCAGGAGCTAGGTGCTCACCGCGTTGTGCAATGCTTGGGTCTCGAACCGGGGCTGTTCCAGCCAATAAGCCCAACATCTTAACCACTGAGTCCTCACACTGCTCTCTGTAGCAAGAGGCCATGGCAAATGTGCTGCATGTAGCCATTGCTTTCTCTTGCTCCTTTCATCTGGCTTATTCTGAAGGACCTCACCTTGAGCAAAATGGCCGCAGGTTTTTGGATTTTATGTTCCATCTCTACGATGAGGTTTTGCAGTCCAGCACACTGTTCAAGAAGGAAGTCTGAATTCCTCTCCAGCTTCTTCAGTGTTGCCAGCTCTTCCTCCTGAAGATGCTTCAAAAGCAGCTTCTCCTCTTCGGCCAATACCTGGCGGCGTTTTTCAAACCCTGATACAATGAGTGCTCTGTGTTTCTTGACTTTGTTCTAGCAGGGGGATCGAGAGAAAGCAATGCTGGACATTGGATGACTCAAACTAATATTAAAGGAATATATTAAAATATTTATTTCATATGAGAGAAATGTATTAAAGCATTTCTTTCATATTTAAGAAATATTTTAATAAATATTAAATATTTATTAGTAATTATTAAAATATGGTTAATATTAAAATAATATTATATTATTTTCCTTAATAATACTAACCCCCATTCGGGAGGTAACACAGAAGCACTTCTGCCCTTTCTAGAATGAAAATAATCCATTAGGGAGCATAAAGATAAAGGTAAAGGTTCCCCTCGCATATATGTGCTAGTTGTTCCTGACTCTAGGGGGCAGTGCTCATCTCCGTTTCAAAGCTGAAGAGCCAGAGCTGTCTGAAGACGTCTCCGTGGTCATGTGGCCGGCATGACTAAACGCCAAAGGCGCATGGAACACTGTTATCTTCCCACCAAAGGTGGTCCCTATTTTTCTACTTGCATTTTTTATGTGCTTTCGAACTGCTAGGTTGGCAGAAGCTGGGACAAGTAACGGGAGCTCACCCCATTACGCGGCACTAGGGATTCGAACCGCTGAACTGCTGACCTTTCGATCGACTAGCTCAGCATTTTAGCCACTGAGCCACCATGTCCCTATTTAGGGAGCATATATAATTGCAATCAGGATCAAATTAACATCCAGCAACGTATGACAAAGGAGCAATGGATAGTTCATAAACCCATTACAGATTCATTTTAGCTCAAAGCTGATTCCCCCACATCCAGATGGCAACAACAAATGGAGTCCTGTATTGTCCTGCATTTGCCCCTTAAAAAAATTCATTCAAACTAACCAAGTTTGTAGAAGGTAATATAAAAGGAATGCAGCTTTGGGAGAAAAAATAATAAAGATTGTTAGTACTTGGGTCCTTATGCAAATGATCTACTGCCGGGATGTGAAATGTGTTGATTTGCATAATTTGTCTCTATGTACTTTATTTTATTTTTATTTTTTTGGTCTTTCATTGCCACTTCAGTGAATTTACCTAGGATCCTCCTTAAGCTGACCAGCCCATCCCCAATCTTTTCTTGGTTCTTTTTACAATTGGTTTTACATTGGCTATCTTCCAACTTTCTGAACCAGAACGGAGGGACAAGTTACACGGTTTTGTTTTCAGCAATGCTTAAATCATTGTCACCATCTGTACTTCCTGGTTTTCCTGTAACTCTATTTTCTATTTCCCAACACCATGTTTTGTATATATTTATACTGACAACTGCCAAAGTGCAGTTTTTTATTGCAGGATTTGTGGTTTGCCTTTAAAGTGTTACAAAACAAACTTTGTAACTGTAAGAAAATACAGCAATACGTTTATCTCTTCAGAATTCTTTTTCCTGCTGAGTTTTGAGTTGCTCTGGGTATTTTAGTTGAGAATTGGTGCGTGGAGATCCATATCTCTAGGCTACTTAGTAAATTTTAAATCAGTGCTCAAAGACAAGTCGGAGATGCAAGTCGATTGTGGTTTGATCTGGGGAAAATGTTAGCTAGTGCCTGAAAATCAAATTGCTTTTTGTGGTTCCGTTTGCTCTGGGAAAAATAAGTTTGCTAGTGCCCAGAAATCCAATTGCTTTTTAAAGTACAGCTTTAGGGAGTTACCCAGAAACCCTAAACTGGTCTATGCAAGCCCAGGATTTTGTGAATCGTTTTTGTGGGAAGGGGATTTCCTTTCTGTAATCTTTTCAGCCAGAGCAGCTCCATAGTTTGATTGTAAAGAGTCTCTGGCAAATATGTCATTCTTCCTGCCTGTTGAAGTTTAGCCACATTCCTTATAACCGAAAAAGCAAAACAATGAACTGTGGTTCTTTCACACATAATGCTCCCAAACCCCCAGACAAGGGTCAAGAGTCTCTGAGAAAGAGTGAAATACCTTACACACAAACAAAGGTCAAGTCCTCGGAACCAGCTCCTCACACTCGTGGGATCAGAAGGTTATCAAGGGGGCTTTTAAGCTCTCCAGGTTCAATGATGCTTTTTTATCTTTGAACCTGAAGAGCTTAAAGCCGCTTTGATACGTCAACAATTTGAGCAACTGTGGATCTTTCCCAACATCTGAGCCAAATAGCTAACCACTGACTCACTTCTGGGTTGTAAGAGAGCTTGCGGGAAAGAAAGCCAACACACCCGAGGTAAATACACGTGCAGTAAGTGCGTGCTAATACTTCTTGCCTCACTGAGAATGAGGAACCTGCCACATAAATCCATCACTTCTTTGGCACCTTTTGCCTTGCTTCTATTCCTCGTATGGGGCTGTTCTTCACTTCCTCCAACTACTATACAAATAGGCCTCCATAAATGTTTTATTTTCTGCCATGGACTTCTGTTGCCTTTATCTCATGTTCAGTCCACCTGTAGAGGCAGCATAAAGTCATTTATGCCTATTTCAGTATTAAGATAGTGTTTTTATTCTTCAAAAATCCCGATAGGCACCTGCTTTATAATACTGACCAAAGCTGTCTTAAGAGCTAGTCAGACCTTTCACAACTCCTTATAAATTTGCGTTTAGCACTTTTGAAAAAGTACTAGACTGGTGTTTTTAAAAAATAAGCATAATGCTCTCTTGGACCAGTTCTGCCAGCTATGTATTCCTGATTGTTACCAGTGAGTCCATTATTACATTTCCTTTGCTTCTGCTGACAAAGGATATCATATGGTTCTAATTCTTCCTGTTTCTATTAATTTAAGGGGGGGAAACAATGCTATTTTATCTACTCCATGAGTTACTTCCAGGTGTTACAGCCTCAGGCACCAGCTCTCAATACTGCCATGCTCTTGGAATACTCATTGCTGATCATTCTTTTCGGCTTCATCCTCTTCTTGACATTGTGAGATCCACCAGGATAGGTTTTAGATGCTGATATAATTTATTTCAGAAGAATGCTACAGCTTTGCAGAGATATAGCCCAAATTGCACAGGTAACAGGCACAGAACATCTCCATACCTGCAAGCTGATGAGCAACGTGGAAAGTGGCCAAACTAGCCATTTTGAGCCTTTACATATATTTGTCCATCCTCATCCACCATTTATTAAGGACAGAAGCTGTTGCTTGTTCTTTGCAGAGAGGCTTTGTGGGAAGAGATATAAAATATTGCTTTCTTCACTTATCCACATGAGCCATGGTGGCACAGTGGTTAGAGTGCAGTACTGCAGGCTACTTCTGCTGACTGTGGCTGACTGCAATTTGGCAGTTCAAATATCACCAGGCTCAAGATTGACTCAACCTTCCATCCTTCTGAATTGGGTAAAATAAGGACCCAGATTGTTGGGGGCAAGAAGCTGACTCTGTAAATCGCTTAGAGAGGGCTGTAAAGTGCTGTCTAAGTGCTATTGCTATCCTTCATCAAAATGCTAAAAAACAGCACCACTTGTGGCTTTGCTCCTAAAGGATAGAGCACAGGGATCATCAGTGAGGGTGCTTTTCCATTGATTCATGGAGTGCAATATAACATTTTAATGTACCTGCTTAGAAATTCCCTTAATATTTCTACTCCTTTGTGATTAATAGGGTTGGCTGAATCTCTGCTTTGGGATCTGCAGTGCATATTTGGAGCTGTTCAAAAACTTTGTATACAATAGTGGTGAATATCTGTAGCTTGGGTGTAGGATGAGGGTGGAAGTTTGTTCTCCGAGTTGGTTTCTGAACATTTTGTTACTAGGCTAGGTAACATCTTCAGTGGAATTTAGCGGATGTCAGTGTCAATATTCTTCTGTTTATCAGGGCTTCATGTGGTCAGCAGATCTTGTGATGTGAGGTCACGTCAGGTGAGGGTCACGTCAGGGTCAGGTGTGGGTGTGTCGAGTGAAGGTTACTGAAGGTATTACTTAGCCTAGTAACGAAACGTTCAGGAATCAATTCACAAGCTCGAGGAATGAAACTCCACCCTCACTTTGCATACTCTCCTGTTGAACTTCTAAGAGGCTGTAGCTGCCTATGCACCTCCCCCACAACAAAGCTAGCAAGGCATTTAAAAACACCCCACTGACGATTCTGCATATGACCCTATTAGTTAGGACTCAGGGTAAAAAAGAGCTAGTCAGAGTCAGGAGGACATGATTAGGAGCTTGCCTTCCATTGGTCTGTTTTCTCCTTCTCTTGGACTTCCAGCTTTGTTGCTTCTGCCAGTGTTTTTCTGAGAATGTTCACAGCTTCCTGGAGCTTCGTCTAAGAAAGAAAATGCATATGAGGCCTAGATATAGATGTATGAATACACCTTCAAACTAACATACTATACTTTTGGAGAACCACAGGCCAGATAGATAGATAGATAGATAGATAGATAGATAGATAGATAGATAGAATTCTTTATGACCAAGTATGATTGGACACAAGGAATTTATCTTGGTGCATATGCTTTCAGTGTACATAAAAAGGCAAGATACATTCATCAAGAATCATAAGGTACAACACTTAATGATAGTCATAGGGTACAAATAAGCAATCAAATCATAATAGGAAACAATCAATATAAATCATAAGGATACAAGCAACAAAGTTACAGTCATGCAGTCATAAGTGGAAGGAGATGGGTGGTGGGAACAATGAGAAGATTAATAGTAATAGTAATGCAGACTTAGTGAATAGTTCGACAGCTTTAGGGAATTAGTTGTTTAGCAGAGTGATGGCATTCGGGAAAAAACTGTTCTTGTGTCTAGTTGTCTTGGTGTGAAGTGCTCTATGGCGTCGTTTTGAGGGTAGGAGTTGAAACAGTTTATGTCCAGGATGTGAGGGGTCTGTAAATATTTTCACAGCCCTCTTTTTGACTTGTGCAGCATACAGGTCCTTAATGGAAGGCAGGTTGGTAGTAATTGTTTTTTCTGCAGTTCTAATTATCCTCTGAAGTCTGTGTCTGTCTTGTTGGGTTGCAGAACCAAACCATACCGTTATAGAAGTGCAGATGACATGCTCAATAGTTCCTCTGTAGAACTGAATCAGCAGCTCCTTGGGCAGTTTGAGCTTCTAGCAATAGGACTACCATCTCAAGACAGGGGTCTCTGGCCCACAAGATGATGTTCATGCCTAACACTCTTGGCTAATGCTTACCTATGTTTACCAATGTCCACAGTAACATTCATCCATGGATCTACCTAGAAAATAACTCCAAGGAGGCTTCTACTGTTAACCCATCTCTGTTTAGATGTGTCATTTATGGTTGATAGGAGAAGATTACCAACTGGAGAAAGTAATTATTGGAGAAATCACTGAACTTAGAGATAAGGTTTAAAAAACATTTATCTCTCAACTACATTTAAAGCACAGGCATTCATTAATTGTATGATAAGAGGGAATGATCAGCAAAGTGTTAACGAAACCAAATTTCAGTGGAGGAAATGCTTTACATTTTCCCAAGGGCTTTTCATTTGGAGGAAAAACAGCATGACCTGGTTCTCCCTACTTCCTGAGGAAAGTAGGTTTTATGATAAAGGTTGTGAAATATGGAGATAAGCATTGTCTGCAAATGCTTTCACTTCCACTTTTCCACTTATTTTTAAAAAGGCAGGAAAAGAGAATCAAAAATTGGCAGCAATAATGTGAGCTCACTGCTGCTGCAGGAGGAACAATTTTTGCCACACTAGTATGAAAAAGAGAAAGAAAAAGGAGGAATGTACTTGCATTTTAATGAATAACGTCAGAATTTCTATTTATTTTCCAGTTGTGTTCTGTCTGTAGCAGCTGCTATATAGAAATGGGGGGGGGTTTTGACTTTTTTAAAATCCATTTTATCTGTCTGCTCAGGAAAGCTCATTTGACTTAATTCTGCCCAAGTTGTAAAAACTGAAGGAATGTGGAAAAAAATGCAAGGAGGGGGGAAAAAAGATAACAATCCTAATTCCTAAATATAATGCTTAGAAGCACAAGGATTAGGAAAAATTGCTCAACATCTGTTGTAAAAAATCACTGCCATCTACAAATGTCATAACAGAGGTGTTTCTAGCTGTTTGTTTGTTTTTCAGTATATACATTTGTTAAAAAATACTTTTTCTTTCAGATTATTAGTTTTGATGGACAATGCCTATAGTAAATTTAACCTTAAATTTAAGTGTATAAATTTAATTTGGGATAATTTAAAATTAAAGCAATTAGCAATTAGATCTTATAAAAACATCTCTTCTAGCTAGACAGTCATGGATTTAGAAAGAAAGGAGCAGGAAGGAGAAATTGTTCCAGAAATAAGAAAGGATTTTCTTGGATGATATGCTTAGAGCATACAAAAATGAGTGGCAAAATTTCGCACAATTTTGTGGATGGATATGCAGGAAAGCTGTATTCTAATTACTAATATATGCTTCCAAAACAAACAAACAAGAATACCCTTTCAAAAACTAACATTCCTGGAAAATGCATAAGCTATCCATCTTCATAGTAAGATGCTATCCACTTTGTAACATAATCCTGCTCAGTAGATTCCTATGGATAGTTCCCCATACAGATACCCATGATCAATATAGCCTTTGGGAATAAAAAGAGAAAAAGAATGCATAACCTTTGGTTCTAAGATGCAGCTCTTTTTAGAAGCTATAGCTATTGTAAGAAGCAGAGATGTATAATTTGGTTAAAATGAAACAAGCTGATGAATAGCTTTTTACAATTCTCATATTACAGTGAGAGACTTATCTCTCTTAACATTTTGCAACGGCTTCATTGTTATTGCTTTTAGTAGACGTGGTGGCTCAGTGCCTAAGATGCTGAGCTTGTCGATCAAAAGGTCGGCAGTTCAGTGGTTCGAATCCCTAGTGCCACGTAACAGGGTGAGCTCCCATTACTTGTCCCAGCTTCTGCCAACTTAGCAGTTCGAAAGCACGTACAAAATGCAAGTAGAAAAATAGGGACCACCTTTGGTGGGAAGGTAACAGCGTTCCGTGTGCCTTTGGCAATTAGTCATGCCGGCCACATGACCACCAAGACGTCTTCGGACAGTGCTGGCTCTTCAGCTTTGAAACTGAGATGAGCACCACCCCCTAGAGTTGGGAACGACTAGCACGTATGTGCGACATCCTCTCTGTAAACTTGTAATGGTGAATACAGGAGATCTTGGAGAGTCTATAATTGTTGCATGAAGAAAGTGTGAAGAGCAATCGACATCAACCATGTGAAGAGCCTTGGTAGTACAGTGGTCTAAGGCACCCTGTTATTAAGCTGGTTATTAAGACCAGCTGCCTGCAATTACTGCAGGTTCGAATCTCGCCAAGGCTCAAGGTTGACTCAGCCTTCCATCCTTTCTAAGGTAGGTAAATTGAGGACCCAGTTGTAGGGGCAATAAGCTGACTTTGTATAAATATACAAAAGGATGAAGGCTATTGCTGAGCACATTGTAAGCCGCCCTGAGTCTCCGGAGAAGGGCGGCATATAAATCAATTTTTTTAAAAAAACAACAACCATGAAAATGATTCCTGCCAGGCTTTGTTTAGAAATTTCTCAGTTGAGAGGAAATTTCTCTTTTGCCCCTCCCCTGCCTCTCTCTGGATTATAGGCAGCATTTAAAGAAAGGCAAGGGATGAGAATATGAGGAAATATTGGCTTTACAATATCTGCAAGAATCTGAGACTTTCAAGCTAATCAAAACAGCATGATGTGATTCAGAGAGAGATCTCAGAGCAGCTGATGCTGTAAGTGCCTGGAAACTAAAAGTGCCTGGATGGGCGGCCACAAGGAGGCCCATATGTACTACTTCAAGAATCCTAAAAAGCAGAGAGATGGAAGGCAACATTTCCCCTCCTTTTAATGTTCACCAAAACTCCTAGAATTGTTCTGCAGATCCACAGAGCAAGGGTGAAGATTAATTTTCCCAAGCAATATGCAGTAAGGGTTTTGAGAATAGCAAAATTAACCTTGTATTATGTTCAAAAAGTCTAACTGATGTTCTTGGCACAGTTTCATAGTCCTTCAAGGCCAAGGGGTTTGAGAGAGCCACTTCATCTTTTATTTTTTTTTCCCACCAATATAAAGTTGAGGGTCATGGAGGGCTTTTTAAAAAAAACAAAAACGAGAACATGTAGGCCCACACAATTGTTAGAAGCCACAATGAGGTCCCCCGCATGAGAATATCATTATGTAATTTATGCAAATTTTGACACTGAGTATCATTTGCATGCAACAACACTACCCTTCCAGCAGAAGCCCAAGGATCAAGGAAGAACAGTTGAATATTGCCTGGACAATTTGAATCTAAGAATGCTAAGAGTTTTCTGTATTTATGCTTCATCTATATACCTAAGGTGACCAGCTTTTTTACAATGAGGAGGACACAAATAAACTGAAAAAAAAACTTGTAAACTTGTAAACATAAGCAAATAAACTTGTAAATAAAATTATACATATTTGGAAATTATTAAACAGATAATGAATTAATAAAACATGAATTATTGTGCTCACCTGTGTATAATTGAATATTCACTGAGAAAGAAGTGAGTCTAATGTGTGCCTGTGTGCCCTGTCATGTTTTGGTAAGAAGTAAACAAAGCCACTTGTGCACGGCAAACTCTCTCAAAACAATTCTCCTGTGCGGAGTGCATGTGTCTCATAATCACGTCTCGCCATACTGTACCGAGCTTTGACGAATCGTCATGTCAAATACAAATACATCACATCACACGCAACAGATTGGATTGGCATCGATCGATTACGGAGATTTACAGATTAGTCTTCAAATATCGAAAAGGAGGACATGTAGGAGGACACTTTTTGAGAGAGGACAGAATTTACAAAAGAAGGACTGTCCTCCCTAAAGGAGGACGATTGGTCACCTTAATATACCCCACTTTCTCTCCAACAGCAAAGGAGGTCTCCCTTCCAAAACAGCAACCCTATCAAGTAAGCTGGACTGAGTGTGTATAACTGGCCCAAAGCTTCCCTACTGAGCCACTGAGGATTTGGACAGGCAAAGAAGCCCAGCCTGTCCTCACTCATAACTCTGTTTGGAATCCAAACCCAGCTTCCTCCTTACCTTGTAATCATGAGCTGCCTCCTCAATGGTCAGGACTGAGTGCATCCGATGTTCCCGAGATTTGTCACACACCAAGCAAATAGACTCCCCATCATCCTGGCAGAAAAGCCTCAGCTTTTTGCCATGCTTCTCGCACAAGGCCTCAGCAAGTCTTTGGCTGGGCCTCCGAGCCAGCCGCTCAATGCCCTCCACAATATTGGCCAGCTGCTTATTGGGGCGGGAGCTGCTTAGCAAAAACCCCACCCGGCACTGCGGGCAGAGAGCTGCCCCGGTTGTGGAACCAGCTCCTCGCTCGCAATAGTCTGAGATGCACGCCTGGCAGAAATTGTGGCCACAGTCGATGGTCACTGGGTCCCTCAGATACTCCAGGCAGATGGAACAAGATACCTCATCCTGAAGCCTCTCCACGGGGTCGTCCACCGAGGAGGCCATGCCTGCTTAAAAGACCATTAAAATCCACCCAGAGATGGACAGCAGTCTCATTTCCAAAGAACTGTCAGCATACGAGGGAGTGGTTACAGCAGGGAGGAAGTTTTGGGTAAGAATTTCCTCCTTGGAACCCTTCCACCCCGTTTCTTTCTCTTGTTGACGCTTTTCATTCCAGACCAAGACAAGCACACAGAAACCAAAAATTCTTTTGCAAGGTGATAGAAAGGGAAGGCAGAGAAACAGGACGTCAGCCAAAAGTCAAAATCACCACTTTACGTGATTTCCCAAACGAGGTAAATAAGTTTCGGGGGTGCAAGGCAAACAGGGCTGGGTTTCTCAGATTTCTGCAGAAATTTGTGTGATCTGAAGTCTCCTCCAAAAAAGGTCTGGGGAATTAGAATTGTGCATGGTTATTGATGATTTGGGGGTGGGGGGAGGGAGGCAGGAGAGAGACAGGAACAAAGATACTAAATTTCATTAAAATAATGTGACCTATTATTGTTACTATGCAGATAAAACCGCTAATTTTCTTCAGGGCAGGGCCTTCCCAGGAGATTTCAGAACAGCCCAAGCCCTGAGAGTTACTGAGAAATACACTCTATTGAGAGCTGCATCGAATATTTCCAACATGAGATACCTCCAAGAAAATCCCAGGCAAATATTTTTCCAGCAGGAAAACCCAGATAGATGTGGTATCCATTTACCGTTAACTCTAACAGTAAATTTAAGCACTGAATGAACAAATAGTCATAGCATGCTTGGGAAATCACATTTTCTGGAAACATGTCTTTTCTTTTTAATTAAAAGGATGTCTGCCATGACCTCGCAGAGTTGCTCAGAATTGGGTGGCATATAAATTAGATTATTATTTGGGATTGGTCACATAGCCAGCCAGATGTTTAAACTGGATTTGGCATTTTTATCCACCTATCAAGTTCTCCCCCAAGGACGTGGGATAGGCAGATGTTGTTTGGCGGTGTTAAAGAAATTGTCGCAAGATGTAAGCTGTTCCAAGTAAAGCTGCCTTTTGCAATTGATGCAAGTGGTGATTTTGTCAGTGCCCATGGTATCCAAGTGGTGCTTCAATTGTTCTGGAATTGCACGTAAGGTGCCTATTATTATTGATACTACTTTTGCTTTCTTTTGCCAATTTTGTTCATCTGTTCTACTTCTATTTGCCAATCTTTTTATTATTATTTTCTCTTCTCTCCTCTCCTCTCGTCTCCGCTCCTCCCCTCCTCTCCTCTCCTGGTCTCCTGCCTCCAGGTACTGCCAAGTCCAGTATTCAAATATTTTTGTCATTCTTATCAACAATAGTTAAGTCCAGGGTGTTATGTAGAAAGTACCAGTCTGTTTGAATTCTAAAGTCCCAGAGTGCTTTAGCTTCTTCATTTTCTTTTTGTCTATTTTCTCATCTCACTGGCAAATGGTGTTTCCTGCAGATATTGTAATGTGCATTATTATTATTTGCTCTCGCCAGCAGAAAAAACCTGAAACACAGGCAGGAAGCAAAGTAAGAGTTGGAAGTCAAGATTAGAATAACTACTGGATTAATTTAGCAACAAGTAGCATTACTTAGGAGGGCATAGTTACCAGGTTAATAAAAAGTGTGCTGCAGTTTCTGGTTCCAGTGTTGTCTTACTGTAGCAGTGCTCTGCAAACAATAAGAGAGAAAAGCTGCCATACTTTTCTCCCTACTGGAAACTCCCATCAGCTTCTCTTTCCCACATTCGCAGAAGACCAACCTATCTTGAGGAGGGTCTTGAAGTTCCCAGCAAATTATTTCAGTTATGAAAGTCCACATTTTCCTAATGCAATACAAGTAGCCTTTCCCTCCTCTTTTCTAGAGTTGAATCCATGGAGTTTTGTGTGCCATTGCCGACATCTGGAGTTCCCTGGACTTCTTGCCTTATCATTGCCTTGTTCCTTTGCTTCGTTGGACTTCTTGCCTTGAAGCTGTTGTGCTAACAGCATTTTGCTGGGCTACTCGCAGCCAGAGGCTGCTGTGTGTGGGGTGTGTGTGTGTGTGTGTTTGTGTGTGTGTGTGTGACCGCTTTGCTCCAGGACTTGCCATAAATGTGGGAGCGTTTGGGGGAAAGTTGGAGCAATAAAGGGAATTTGAACTATCAGCTGGCTGTGTTGCCTCCATGCCTTGCCCCAGGTCATCACATCAGCTATGGCATCTAGCCATGTACTGCAAGGATTTCCTAGATGCAAAGTGGCCCAACTCGGCATCTACTGTATGTGTAAATTATAAATACAAACCATTTCCTGCATATATGTTGGTTGTTTTGTTGGAAGTCTTACCTCATCTGCCTCATTTATCAACTTGTAATTATGCTGAAGAATGGAAGTAATCACACCTTTCTTCTGTGCAACTGCCGACGGTGAATCTGCTCCAATTGCCAGTTTCCATAGAGCAAATGTAATAGAGGCAGTCCTCAACTTATAACCAGCTATTGAATGGCTGCTCAAAATTATAGTGGTGAAAAAAAGTGCCTTACAAACTGGTCCTTATACTTATGACCATCGCAGCATCCTTGCAGTCCTAAGAGTCAAATTCAGGCCTGTATTTGCAGTTAACAGTTGCAGCATCCTGGGATCATGTGATTTGGGACCTTTCCAGCTGGCTTCTGATAAGCAAACTCAGTGGAGGTAACTAGATTCATTTAACGAATGTGGCAAAATGGTCATAAAATTGGATGTGATTCACTTAACGATTGCATCGCTTAACAACAGAGGTTCCGGTCCCAATTGTGGTTATAAGTCAAGTACTAATTATTTAAATTATAAAATCAATCTATATCACCAATGATGCATGACAGCATTTCGACAGCATACAAGCTAAGTCCAAGAAACTTGTTTCCATGTTAGAACCAAGAGAAATCCATAGGACTTCTTCTCTTCCAGTCCCACCCACAAATTATGGTCTGCAACAATTCTGTTCCTTTCTCAATCTGGATGGTGAATTTGTGAAGCATCTCATTCCTCAATAGAATGTATTTGCCCAAGAGGTGGCTTTTAAGCTAAAACTGGACCTTGGCTGCTCTAATTAAAGTAAGCTGACCCTCAACTACCTTTAAGATGATGCAACTGCGAAACCTGTGGGGAGATTTAGTGAATAAACAGCTGCAGAACAACATGAGAGAATCACCGTGAAAGACCGTGAAGGAATCAGTCAGGTTTACCTTTGCTAAACATGTCAACATCTTTTTGAGGGCACTGTGAAATGAAGAGCACATCATTATGGGGTGTTGAATAGCTGGGAAATGGGACAACTTGCCACAGCCAACTTGCTGCAGTCCACTCATCATGGCCAACTCGCTGCGGGACAATTTAACAGTTCTATTTAATTATTTAAAGTAAATAAAAAATATTTTAATTTTTGCCATTCACATTTCATTCTACCCAGAGGTGAAATGTAAAATTTGTTACTACCGGTTCTGTGGGCGTGGCATGGGAGGGGTAATGTGACTGGGTGGGCATGGCTAACTTTAACTTTTCAAAGCATTTTTTCTAATACTTTGAAAAGCCTCTGCCGATCAGGCAACTCAGCTGGGATTGTCAGAGACTTTTCAAAGCATTTTTTTAACTACCTCTTTGGCCAAGAGTTTGCAGAAAAAAATGCTTTGAAAAGCCTCTGAGAATCCCAGCTGAGCCGCGCGATCATCAGAGGCTTTTTTTTTTACTTTTAAAAGCATTTTTTCTATAACCTCTTCCGATGAAAAAATGATTTTAAAAATAAAAAAAAAAGCCCTTGAATGTAGATGCGGCTCAGCTGGGCAGGGGGGGGGGGGCACAGGGATTTTTGCTACCGGTTCTTCGAACCACCCACCGCCATCACTACCAGATCGGCAATCCGGTCTGAACCAGGAGCATTTCACCCGATTCTACCCTTCCTTTTGCATCCTTTTTTTTATGATTCTATTCCACTACTTCTTTGGTATTAGTGTAACTCTTGCCCCGCAGTGAGTTGTCCTGTGGCGAAATGACTGTGGCAAGTTGTTCTGCAGTGAGTTGGCCGTGGCAATTTGGCTGTAGCGAGTTAGCCGTGGTGAGTTGACCGTAGCAAGTTGGCCATGGCGAATTGTCATAGACCCGTGTAGCTGCCTAACTGTTAGTGCTTCTACCATCTTTATTTGGAAGACTGAATAATTCCAAGGTGGTGCTGTACATAAATTACTTTTGGAGAGGACAGGACACAAAACAATGGACACACACTTTCTGGGGTGAGGAAGTAAACCCTAGTTCCTAGTATATTTTATGTGCGTGTGATTATTTCCCCTAATGCACACATCTTTATCACGTTTTCTCTAAGCTGCCCTTTTTGCAAATCAGGTATGTCCATTTCCCTATAGTGCATGTTTCTCTAAGCACATTTTAGTTAGAGAACTACAATACAAAATAGAAAGAATGAAAAAATAAATTGAAGCACTTTTCTATTTTGGTTGCCAGTTAAGGTCCTGCAAGTTGGTTTGGTTGTAAGTTAAGGACTTGCAAATTCAGCTTGCATTTCCCACTGAAATTGAAAAGAAAGCAATCACTGCTGCCACAGGCTGGTCTTTGACTCTCTCTATACTTTTTTTTTTAATATAAAAAGATTTAAATTAAAATATTGAAGATTAGGAAGAACCTAAACTATTTCTTCTTGCTTTTGGGTCATTCCATGTCAAGTGGTCTGATTTCAGAAAAGTGCCCCGCTCGACCATCACAAATTTCGATGTAAACATACATACATGTCCCCAATGAGCATTGGTAAAGTGTTATGTGTGCTGATGCAATAATTGTGGAGATATAGGCATTTGTGTGACCCCCATACCGCAGCCTTCTACGGTATGACTCTGAGGTTCCAGCAATTTTGAGACATAATATCTCTCATACTGTATATACACTGCTCAAAAAAAATAAAGGGAACACAAGCAGAAGACATCCGAGATCTGAATGAAATATCCTTATTAAATACTTTGTTCGTTACATACAGTAGTTTTGTGTTCCCTTTAGTTGTTTGAGCAGTGTATAAACTACTGTATGTAAAGAACAAAGTATTTAATAAGGTTATTTCATTCATTCAAATCTCGGATGTCTTCTGCTTGTGTTCCCTTTATTTTTTTGAGCAGTATATTTTGTTGAGAGAAGCAAAACTTAGCCATCTTGTACAACTTTTTGTGCTCTATTAAACAAAATAATAAAAACATTCTCATGAGCTATCTCCATCTAGATAATTTGGAGCAAAGTTGGCCGAAAGTAGTGCGGCTCAAAAAAAGATTAAAGTTTGGCTTTTTATATCTCTGGAAAGAAAGGTATAATAAATGTGAAACTTTGTGCATAATAACTTAGTAACACAAGGTTTTCGAATAAAAAAAATCATTCTCTTAGTGCTTTCCAATAGTTTACAAACTGAGTGTAAGGTTGACGTTTTTTGTAAAAATACCAAAAATAGGATATTTTCAGCCCGCTTTTACAAAAAAGAGCTTCTGGAAACTCTGTTAAATCATTCTCATTAGAAAGAGCATGTTTTGAACCCCCTAAAAAAGGAGGGTTGGTTTTTCATTGCTGATGTATAAAGCCCTAACAATAGGGACAAAGTTGAGGATGGTATGTTTAAAGTTGTATATTCGAAATTGAATAATTACAAAATCAGAATAAAAAAATAAAAGATAATATAGAAAACATATTGTTTACAAAAATCACCAGGCAATGAAACCCTTGTTAGGAGAAAGATTGTGGGCCCAGTGTCCATTGGTTCACATGGAGCTGGTTTGCCACACCTCCCCAATTGCCACCAGCACCATGACCAGCACCCCCTGCCTGCCCAAATAAGGAATTGCATGCGCTAAAAGGTAGAACTGCCCAATCAAAAATCCCTTCCCTTAGTCTTTTTCTTTTCTCCTGTCCAATCATGTCCAATGCTCAGAGATGCAGTCTACATTTGGTTAATCTAGAGTTGCACAGCCCTATGAGAAGATCTGGTATCCTGAAAGTCTCTTAGGTTAACCTGGAGTCCCATGATTCAAGGGGTAGGTTGCCCCACCTGAAAACCTCTTGAGCTCATTGATGGACAGAAAGTCACATTACCCTAGTGGTGGACTTGCCTTCCAAGCACCTTGTCCGTCTCTGGCAAACTGAAGCACTCACTCTGTGGATGGAGAAACAGAAGTGGGCAGCCACCACTTCTTGATGCTTGTACCTTCACTCACCTCTAATCTACTTCAGCTGCCATCTGCTTAGAAGCTCCCCATCAGGGGGTGGGAACTCCAAATTTGGCAACCCACTTCAACCAGGCAACTCGCTATTGCCTCCATGACAATATAAGGAAGGAAGGCACGTGAATGCTTGGATCAGGTAATTCCTGCACACCTACCTGTTGCTGCAACAGAAGATGCTTGCAACTTTGCAAATTTTTTATCAGCAAAGCTGCTATTAGCATGAAAGGCAGCTTGTATGCACTCTTAAGAAGCATTCCGGTATCTCCTACAACCTTCTAGTGCAGGGCTGTCAAAGTCCCGGCCCATGGGCCGGATGCGTCACACACTGGCCATGCCCATGCCCATGCCCAGTTTAATGAAGGGGGGAAAGTCCCAATACGTCACGTGACACCACCGTAACGCCGTGATTTTGACACCCCTGTTCTAGTGCATCCCATTTCTAGCAAATTGCCTACTTGATGTTACATACAAGAGATGTGTTATCTCATTGAAGTGAAGGCTCTATAGACTAGGAGCAAAAATATCCAGTTCTGAGTCTATCATATGCCATAGAAGCTGCTAGGCCAGGCACTATCTCCACACCAGTCCATCTTACTTCATCAGTGAAGAAAAAATGGGAGTGGGAAATGCTGTGTACTGTGCTTGAGCTCCAGGAGGAAAGCAAGATATAAATTTAATGAATAAATAAATACATCAGTATGTTCTGCTGATTCGTCCAATCAATTCAACTGGAGGGAAGCAAATAGCTCCATTCAAATGTTTTAAAGAATCTTCTTTAAACCTGGCAGAAGAGAGGGAACTCCTAGTTCAGAAAATAACAATTCATCAGACACACCAAAGCAAATCTTCCCATTTTTCTTTCTTTTTTTTTAAAAAAAACCCCACATATTTCTGTTGAACACTGGTAACTGATAAGTGAGAGTTTTGCTCCATTCCCGGTAAGGCAGCTTAAAGCTTTCCATGAATCAGTCTTTTTTCACACCAGAAATTTTGCAGTTTGTAAAACCTGAGGCAAGGTGACACATCGTTCCTTAGGCTCTGGAGAGATGTCACCCATTTTTCAATGATCAGAACAGATCAAATGTGCCACCAAGAATATGAGGAGTTTTCTCATCTGCTTGAGATCTTCCTCTGGCCAAATGCGAAGGGCGTTGGCCTAACCCACCAGAAGGTGCCTTCCCAAACAGTCCTTGGCACGATTTCTGTCCTTGCTTGGGCAATCTTCTAGCATCAAGATTCAAGGTCTCGTGAGAGCCGCAAAAGTTCCTTCTGTCTGTCAATCACTCTCAAGGGCTGGATATGGGCCCAGGTTGCAGCAGGACTTCGAGTGCTGAGGGACTGTTCTGAGCCTGAAAGGAAACAAACCAGGATTAAGGAAATCTATCATCTGCAATAGTTTGAAAGAGGCAGAGAAAATAGAACACCACTAAATAACATTTGACAAAGTTTCCTAGCTATATTGAGCAAGAAAGTAATTAAATGGACAGAATCTTTTCTTTTCTTTTCTTTTTTGGCTTCTAAGACAGGTGTGGCCAGTGATGTAACAAAGTCTTCTGAAGAACGGAGACCAACTGTGTTGGCCTTCTGGGGGGTGGGTGTAGGAGACAATGATTATTTTAGAGCAAAACAGTTGACCCATAATTGCTCAACCCACCTATTTTACTTTTTCCAATGCTCCAATACTCCACCCCCACCCCCACCTCAAATACATAAGCTGCTAAATGTTTGCCATCAATTTTTGGCAGAAATCACCCGTGGCTAGAGTGGAGGTGGGGTATTTATGTGGCCCATAGACAGAAGGTTGCTTATCTCTGCTCCAGTCTAAACAACAGCTATTCTTCAAGATTTAGGAGATTCACCCCTCTCCTTGTAGATTCCAGGGGCTAAATAAGGGGTGAAATCTACTTACCTTCCCAAGCGGTTCGGAAGTGCGCGCACCATCGTCATGTTTTGTTTTGTTTTTAATTTGATTTATATGCCGCCCTTCTCCGGAGACTCAGGGCGGCTTACAATGCATTAAGCAATAGCCTTCATACTTTTGTATATTTATATAAAGTCAGCTTATTGCCCCCACAAACTGGGTCCTCAGTTTACCTACCTTAGAAACGATGGAAGGCTGAGTCAACCTTGAGCCTGGTGAGATTCGAACTTACAGTAATTGCAGACAGCTGGTGTTAATCACAATGCTATCAGTCTGCTGAGCCATCAGTCTGATTTTTGACCCTTTGCGCATGGGCAAAGCCTTCTGTGCATGCGCAGAGGGTCAAAAATGGGTTACTTCATCCGGGCAGGTGGGCGGAGCCTTGCGTTGCCGTCACTACCGGTTCAGCAAACCACGCGCCGCCAGCGCTACCAGTTCACGCAAACCAGACGGAACTGGCTGAATCCAGATCCTTTTGCATACAGACTCAGAACTCTGTCATGGAACTATAGTTATTTTCAAGGAGTTTTCACGAAAACCTCTGTTAGGACATAGTCCTTATGGAGCAGCTGCTGTTACATTTGCATTGTGTAGGGTAGGGAGAAAATACCAATACGCCCTTTTGAAAAAGAGAGCAATATAAATCATGCAATGATTTGACGGTTCCAAAGAAAAAGTCAACAGTTAAACAATGTACACGAGACACACACACGCCCTTCCCCAATTCACTTGCTTACAGGTTGAGGCACGTATTGCCCGAGCTTCTTCCAAGAGGTACTGGGGACGACTGCGCAAGGGAGAGAGGGGAACTGGAGAAAGGGAGAAAAGGAAAAATAAAAATGGGAAGTCAGAGGTTTACAGAGGAGGAATGTGTGTGTTATTTCCTAGCCAGCTCCTGCCAACTTCTGCTTTGTGTCATCTACGAAGACATTTTTCTATGTCCCTGAACATTCCAACTCTAACAGAAGTGCCTATTATTATAATGCAAGCATCCTTTTAAAACATCGAGCCAGGAAAGCTATTTCTCTTTTGATGCAACCTTCCGACTCAGATCACCTGTAAATCTTCCCTTGTCAAATGTAATGACTTTCTCAGGAATGGGATGAGCTAAAACTTTAATTTTTAATTGGCATTAAAAATAGATGTAACTTAGCCTTGCAAATTAGTTTGACGTGCTTGTTGAAAACTGCTTTGTAAAATGAAAGGGGATGGAGAGAATCATTCTATTTCATCGGGCCACTGTATTTGTGCAAGAGTCCTGTGCGGCAACCATTCTAAACTGCAGTGTGTAGGCTTTGCTTCCCTTGATCCTCACTGGTCACAATTCTCCCAAACCCAGCACTCTTCTATACTCACGGTTGGGATGACTCCGACAGTGATGTACAAGGTGAACAGCTTTGGCCATCATGCGCTATACAGGATAGATATGGGTTTGTGTTAGATTATTCACTTGTTCTCTCTCTATTTTCTCTAACCAAGCTATTTGTAGACTGAAAAAACAACTAATACAGCATGCATGCTGAAGGTACCCCAACCTGCAGTCAGAATCTCAGAAACACCCGAGTATTTTTTTTCCAGCTAGTGATTTTTTTTTCCAAAATGGAATGATCTATTTCATTCACAAAACAGTACAACAGAAAGTCTACTCTCTCTACTCACCAGCTTCTCAAAGTTGACAAGGTTCTCCACCAAGGTACGGTTGCCCTCGTGAATGAAGGTCATATCTGCAAAGTGAACGCAAGTGTCTTATCATTCGTTACAAAAAAAGAAAAAAGAAAGAAATGGAGATCTTTTGCCCTTTGTAATTCTAGGATAGGCTTGAAATCTTTTGAATAGGAGGAAGTGCTCCTCAATAGCAATAGCACTTAGACTTCTATACTGCTTCATAGTGCTTTTACAGCCCTCTCTAAGCGGTTTACAGAGTCAGCATATTGGCCCCAACAATCTGGGTTCTCATTTTACCCACCTCGGAAGGATGGAAGGCTGAGCCAACCTTGAGCCGGTGAGATTCGATCTGCTGAACTGCAGCTAGCAGTCAGCTGAAGTAGCCTGCAGTACTGCACTCTAACCACTGTGCCACCTCAAGCTTCACTTTTGGTAAGTTCTTAAATATGTACATAGGCAAAAATGCAGAATTAATTTGCTAGCAGCTTCTTTGGTTTCAATGTAGTTGCTGTCAACAGTCTTGACTAGCAAACCCAAGAAAAGCAGACACTCTTAAGAATTTTGAAATCCCAAAAGCAAAACTTAATTGGAGACACTATTTCGGTACTGAAGAATCAAAACCAACTCTGGGTTTTCCCGCACAATGCTTATATAGTTAAACAATATATTCCCATTCTCCCCACCCTTAGTCACATTGTCCAATTATGAATCATCCTTTTGTTTTGAGAACAGTTCATCTTTCTGTTAAACACCTGCATCGGTGCCCTTGGAGATATTGGCTCTCACGGTCTGTCTCTGAAGCGTCTACATTCTTTCTCCCCTTCCCTCCCCACAGTTCGTTGGCCAGTTGAATAGCGATAAGACCTAAACATTTCAAAAGTGGTTCAACCATGACAGCTGCATTACACTTCATGTTTTAGAACCTCTGAAGTAGCTGTTTTTGAGGCTTTGTCAGTTACTTAAAACTGCACCTGTGTATATTCGATAGGATTCTGTTGTTGTACCTTTAAGAAGGAGGGGCATAAAAGGGATCATGGGTGGAGACAGCTTAGCCACAGCCAGTCTATAAACACGGTGATTCCAAGAAGGATCCTGGAAAGAAAAAAGATAAATCAGATGGGATGTTTGTAGTCAAACATGCTTTAGGCTGACTGTTGACTCCTTCAAACCATTTTTCAATTGTGTGGCTTCATCTGGATTGTAAAGGTTGAAGAATTAGCAGGAACTGGCAATCTTTTGGAAGCCAATGGCCATACTTAACTTTCGAGGGTGTAAAGGTTCCCCTCGCACATATGTGCTAGTCGTTCCTGACTCTAGGGGGCGGTGCTCATCTCCGTTTCAAAGCCGAAGAGCCAACGCTGTCTGAAGACGTCTCTGTGGTCATGTGGCTGGCATGACTAAATGCCAAAGGCGCACAGAATGCTGTTACCTTCCCACCAAAGGTGGTCCCTTTTTTTCTACTTGCATTTTTTACGTGCTTTCGAACTGCTAGGTTGGCAGAAGCTGGGACAAGTAATAGGAGCTCACCCTGTTAGCCACTGAGCCACCGTGTGTCAACAGGGATTAAACCAGGCTTTGGAGGAACTTTCTTGTGCGTCTGTGGTGTTTGCCTGGCGGAGCACAGGCGGTTCCAGAGGAGCTGACACCGTGTCCCTCGAGGGTGTAGCTGAAGGCTACAAAATATGAGCAGAGCTGGGCTTTGGGAGGAGTTGCTCAGTTGTTGCTAACTGGTGCATCTATTCTAGGGCTTACTTTATGACATCGTCATGCATTCCCAGACTTCAGATGATGCAATACTATAAAAAACTGGTAAGAGATGGTTCCAAGGGATCAAAAAGGAGAAATAAAGTCTTAGGCTGTCCACTGCTAGCTTCCATGCTTATGCAAAGTCCCTAATTATATATTCAGCATAATATATTTGGGGGGGAGGAACAGCTAAGCCTCATTAGATCACTTTCTCACAGGTGCCAAAATTTTGCATAATTTAAATGGAGATTCAATGCTACTTGGAATTTAAATGTTTTAAGTCTCATTATGGCAGTATCATGAGACTTTGGACAATATTTAATAGTGAGTTGATAGGTGGGTGTGATGTTGAAGCTCTAATGCAAGATTGTACTGTGACAGCCAATCTCCAGTCAGGTTTGCTGAGCTCTTCCTTACATAAGGGATTCTCTTCCATATTGCTCATCGCCTCGTATCTTCAGAGGTCTAGAAATAGATTTCTACAGATCTATTTCTACAAATAGATCTAATACAGGACAAAATTCCTCAGAAGATTTTGAAATTAAGAGCTAAAGAAATTGAGTTCTCATTGGATCCATTCAGGGAGAGATTAAATTTGACCTACACAAATAAGTGAGCTCATATCTTTGTGAGAAAGTCTATAAAGAGAAAGAGAAGGCGGTGCGGAATATTTAGGTAGATTATGCTCCATCAGTCTAGGCATTATTATCTCTCTGTGGAAGGATCCAGATAAACTGTTGATCACCTCAGAGTCAAAATGTAAATATTCTGACTAAGATTAAAACGACTACTCTTACAGTAAGTCTAGCTGCAACTCCTAATATAAAACTGGTGCAAGCCACTCTCTTAGCACCAGTTCCCCATCAGTAAAATGGGAAACAGAATAGGGATACTACATAAAAATGAGAGAAGAAATCAACACTTCCAAAGACAAAAAGGAACATCTCTCCACTCACCAACATCCGTTCCATAGTGCCATACAGCTTTCTCGTCTTGTGCGGAAGTTTCTGAGATATGAAGAAAAGTCAAAGGGAGAATTGTCAGAAATGGCCAATAAGTTAGTGCAGAAAGTTGGGGAATTTATTCAACTTATATTTGTTCAAACAGGACTCTGCACCTATGAAAAGAGAGTGGACACTTCAAAGCCATAGGTAAAAACAATCTGTCAAGAAAAGCTACTAAAAGATATGACCCTGGTCAAAGAGGTCAGCCTAAATTGACCAAGAAAGGCCTTGTTTATTGGCATAAATCACGTCCTGTCAAGAAAGGAGATGACTGAAAATCAGCTCATATAATAATATGACTTCTCAACCTGAGTAATTTTTTTCCTTTGAACTAAAAAGGATGTGAATCGTCAGTGAGCCTTAGCTACCCAAGGATGCCTCAATAAAATTTTTAAGGACAAAATTTCGTAGCTTCTCAAACTGAATACCTGTACTATAGCAGAACATGCAAATAACCCATTTCCTGCCTATGTGATCTGCTAGTGATCAGAATACTACATCCGTGCTACAAAGCATACAAAATTCAACAAAAGCCAAATCATAGAATGGACCACAAAAATAAACAAGCAGACATAATCCTTCTTAAGGCTGATGTAAGGTCCATCCAATCGCTATTTCAAAATCTGGCTATTTCCCAGGTATTGGGGGCTATGATGAGTAAATATCCTATTGCGAGAAGGGTATGAATGTGAGACAGCCCACTGTTAATGATTGTTTGCTTTTACATTTGAATCATTGTTTGTCTAGTTCAGATGGGGGTTCAGAGAGGGGTATAAACCACCCAGGGTTACAATGTATGTTAGGCAGCCATATAAATTCCCAGTATTTCAGTGTTCACGCATACCCAATTTCTGCTCTGCAAATTATTTTTTAAATGAAAATCTCAACTTTTGTAGTTTCCTCTGCTTTTAAACCATTGTTTTAATTGCAATTATTACAAAGTACCCTCTTCTGTATCAACTTTGCCACAAATAGATATCTTCCCCATATAAATACTGTTCCACAGGACTCCCAAGAGTTACCACCATGAGGATGACGGATTTCTTCAACAACCCAGTTCAGAGCCATCTGCCTTCCAAATCCCCCTAAAATGCTCATTTGGACCCATTTTGAGCCAAATTTACTTCAGGCTGGGGCTGATAAATTATACAACTGCAACAGTGTAATCCTTTCACAATTTTTGACATCACATCTCTCTCTTGACCACAATCCTCTTGACATATTAGAGGATTTGGTAAGACACAGATTTAAAAGCATGTAGTAATACTTGATTTATCCATTGTTTTATGATGTCAACTTGGGTTGATTCACTGCATCAAATATGAAATGCTTAATATGCAGATGTTTTCCTCTTCTGGAATTCTATAGCTCATCACCCTCTTCCTAGTTTCTAAGAATCTAACTTCTTGCGAAAAGAGTTGCCTGAGAGATGGGCGGCAAATAAATACGTAAATAAATAAATGCCAATGGGGAAAAGCCCAGATTCTCCTTTCTGGGCATTCCTTATCTATCTGAGATACTGGAAAACATGCTCCTTTATTTAATTGTTTTAATTTTGCTACTATCCTTTACTTCTTACCCAGTAACTAATTGTTAAGGCCTGTTAATGAACCTCCCTCCCAGAAGATCTTGTATACATGATAATGGCTTTGCAGGTCTGTCTCTTCGATCCCAAACTCATTATTATGGCTACACAAAATACACATGTTCTTGATCAGTACACTGTACTCCATCAATTTGGGAACTAAGCACAGCTTCAAGAGGGATACACACACGGAGCAAGTGTGAGAGATTAAGACACCCACCTAACCAGCCAGTTCAGCTGAATCAACCTTAGCAATCAATGGAGAGATAGATGTTGTATAGTCAGATCATCCTTGTATCTCATAAACACATACAATCAGACTGTGATTGCTATTTTGCATCCCTTCATTTCCTTAATCAGGACCCCATAAAAACGATAAAAGGTCTGGGAAAGAGTCTTTCAAAATGGTAAGTGTGAAATTGGAAGATACAACAAACTGCTCTTCTGAACACAGTTTAAGTTAATGTTGGAAAATAGTTTCAAGACCAAGCATGTTGATTCAACTGTTTCCCCTTCTCTGGAGAGTAGAAATGTACCTCCCAAGTCCTAGAAAGGCGGCTGATGGCAGAGTGGCTCAGGCCAAACATCACGGCAAAGAAGGAATTCAGGTTCCTTTGGTCTTTTAGGCTGAAACCAAAAATACAGAAACACCATTCAGATAAGGAGGGAAAACCGAAACAAATTTGATTATAAATTGCAAGTTTTTCCACAGGAAAAACTAGCAGATGCTCCATTCCTACAGCATCAATTTCTCTCCCATGGAAAGAAATTCTGCTTTATTTTCAGAGGTCTCCAAACAGTAAATCAGGATGTACCAGGTGAGGTTTCAATGCTTTAAGGGAGAGAATCATCCTAATGATGAATAATAGCAATAGCACAAGGCAGGAAAAACAACAACCTGTTTTTTATGAATGACATCTCACTCAATCTCTTGCTTTTGGTCAGGCTGGCTGGATTCCTGAATTACACTGTTTTTTTTTTTACATCAGAAAGTTGAAAATAGGAAAGCTGATGAAGAAACCAAAAAATGTTCTGTGAAAAGGAATATAAACTCTTCTCTGGGGAGGAGAACAAATATGTGGGCTGATACTAAAGGTATCTGATGGCGTAATTATTTTTGTCTTGACTGATAGACCTCAAGGAACTCATGAAAAGGAATCAGATCTTGCAAGCCTACCCACTTCTAACCGAATATTTTCATGGTTAGTAGATTCTTACTGTGCAGCCAGCTTGATGAATTTACGGAGCAGCTGGGCTCTTTTGATAACATCAGGACAAAAGCAGAGCTCAGTGGTGATCCAGAACTGCAGCTCATTGAAACGACGCAGGAAACGCTCCACATTGGCTGTGGTTGCACTGGGAAATTTCTGTGGCCCAACCACGTAGTAAATCAACTCCACCTTAAAAAAAACACACACAACAGTCAGGGAATTTCTCCCAAGCTCCAGTCCTAAGACACAAGGCCTTGCCTCAGTTTCTCTTTCAAACGAGCATGCTAATGGGCTAAGATCTCTGCTTGCCTTGACTTTAGACACAAAGCAATAGAAATCTCAGTTCAATACCAACAAGGATGGGTGAATAATTCATGGCAAGATTGGGAGCATCAATCCTTGTATACAAACAAATAGAGCGTCCATAGAACTTCCTTACCTGATGGATGCTTTTGAAGAGGTTCCAGTCATGCTCGGTTAACTGATTAGCCAGGTCCTTTGAACTAATGAAATCCAAACTTTCCCAGGAACCAGTTCTGGGGCCAAGCTGTTCAGGGTGAGGTGCCTTTGCAAGCAAAAGGAGAAAAGGATGGCACTTTTTGCTATGTATAGATGCACTGTGCATACTGGGTCCTAGAATGGAACCTCAGGAAATATTTGAACACTAAAGCCCAGGTCACACTAGAAATGAAGATATATTAATCCTACCGTACCCATCACACACAACTGTACTACAACCTTAACTATCCTTCAATCCCTTTGGATGTTTATTTGGCATTTAGGACACAGAACTGAACATCTTCAGTTATAGATAACTCTGTCCTCCTATCGCTAAACTGTACCTCCAAAACCATATGCCGAAGACCTGAATCATTAAACAGCTTCAGTTTGGAAATATTGTTTATCACTATCTTGCTTCAAAGTGAGGCAGATAAGAGGTGCAGATAAAGGTCTGGGCTTCCATAAATAAGAGGCAGTCAACCCATTCTCCAAAGCACCTGAAGGCAGGAGAAGAAGCAATGGATGGAAACTAATCAAGAAGAGAAGCAACTTAAGAACTAAGGAAAAAATTCCTGACAGAACAATTAATCAGTGGAACAACTTGCCTCCAGAAGTTGAGAATGCTCCAACACTGCAAGCTTTTAAGAAGAGATTGGACAACCATTTGTCTGAAATGGTATAGGCCCTATAGAGTTTCCTGCCTGAGTAGGAGGTTGAACTAGAAGACCTTCAGAGTCCCTTTATTCTGTTATTCTGATTATTATTATTATTATCTGTTCTTCTATTATTCTGATTTGAGATACTCCCTCCTTGGTTTTGGTATAGATTGCACCTTCTCCAATTTAATGATGATGATGATGATGATAACAACAACAACAACAACAACAACAACAACTTTATTGTCATTGTACATGTATACACAGTATACCCATACAACGAATTTCATGTAACTCAGGGATTTCATCCCTTCAAATTCAGTATAACATTTATACTGGGGGGAAAATCTGCTTTCTGTGTTGTAAAGTTTCTTCCAGATATTTTCTATATGCCAAGATTCACATCTTTGATAATTGTGCTGAGAGGGTGGGAGGAATGGTAAACAGGATTAGGAAAAGACGTGAAAAATTTCCCCTTGTGTATATTTACAAGGAACACTCACCAAGTTGTGAAGCTCTTGAACACTGACAGCAAAAAGTCTCTCGTTCAACCCCAGGGATGTAAACACACCAAAAGCTTCCATGGGCAATACAACTTTATCTGCCAAAATCAAATGTTAGAAAGCAGGTTGAGAAATAGAATTCTCTCTCAACCGGCCTCAAGGAGGCAGCATAGGGCAAAGCGTCGATATTAGCTGTAGGTCAAGTCTCTTTGCCTTCCTTCCACAACCATTCTTGAGAACTACAGATCACTTTATTAGCTCTTATCTAGCTAGTAAATTTAGCACACTTTGCTGTTACCTCTACTTTCTGCTTCAAAGAGGCAAATTTCACATTCATGATAATAAATCTTTCTCTCCTCCAGAATCAGGTAGTAGCTGGTCCTTCCATCACATTAACTGGCGTTTGGTTTTGCATTTAAAAACAAACCTTAAGTAATGGACTTTCGCTGGGTCTTCAAGGGTTGCATGTGAGAATGAATGACAGCTGGGGATCAACATCTGCATGCACATATAAATGTACATCCACTTCAGTGGTGGGTTTCCAATATTCTTACCACCCATTCGCCACCCATGCGTGCCTTCCGTACATTTGCCCAGCTTTCCATGCTTGCGCTTTGCTCGCGCACCTTTCACACATGTGCCCAGCCCAGGGGTGAAATGCTCCCAGTTCAGACCGAATCGCCTGATCTGGTAGGGAGGGCGGCGGGTGGTTCGGAGAACTGGTAGCAAAAATCCCTGCCCACCCCCCATACCCAGCTGAGCCACGCGATCATCAGAGGCTTTTTAAATTTTATTTTTAAAAGCATTTTTTCTACAACCTCTTCGGCCGAAAAAGTGCTTTTAAAAGTAAAAAAAAAAAGCCTCTGATGATCGCGCGGCTCAGCTGGGATCGTCAGAGGCTTTTAAAAGCATTTTTTCTGCAACCTCTTTGGCCGAAGAGGTTGTAGAAGAAATGGTTTTAAAAGTTAAAAAAAAAATTGGCCACGCCCACTCAGTCACATTAATCCCCCAAGCCATGCCTACAGAACCAGTAGTAACAAATGTCACCATTGGCCCAGCTTCAAAAACGTGCCTAAATAGGATGGCATAGAGCCGCCGCGATTTCCACTACCGGTTCACCTGAACCGATACGAACCGACTGAATACCACCTCTGATCCGCATACAACTTTCTTCTCATCCCCACTACAAGATGCATGGATAAAAGAGTTAAATCACCCCTTCTCTATGCATCGAGATAATTTGATTTGGTCTGCCCTTCCTTCCCCTCCTGAGGGAACAGAATGCCATTTAAACAGAAAAGGAGGAGAAACTTTTCTTGATGTGCTGCTTTTCTCATTGAGACATCTTGCTCCGTGGCTTGACTTACAGCTGTTTGGCAGACTGTCAGGAGCCAGACTGTGCTGGGGAGGAGAAGGGAGTCAATGCCTTTCCCGGCACAAACATGGAAACGGAGGAAGTGTGAAGAGAGGGAACTGATGGAGGGGAAAACCAGACTGGGCCCTCATGGCAGACAACCGAGGAGAACTTCAAGAGGGGCAGTTTGTCCTTATCTGATAGACCTAGATAAATCTACATGTGGCCTTTTCCTTGGATTCTGAAGGAAGCTAGGCCGTTTGAAGCATGAGAGAAGAGATACACAACATGTTAGATGAATGTTGTGGATAAACAAGTTACAAAGCACACAGTTAACAGTGGTAGGTAAACTTCTCTTAGCTCATTGTAGGAGAAGATTTTCTGCTATGGCAGAGAAAAGACAGGATTCTGGGAGCACCTTTTCAGACTAACACATTTTATTAAAAGCCAGAAGCCTTTAACTCCATCAGGCGCATAGCATGATTAAACTGATACACAATTTAAATTATTTGAAAATTAGAAGTGTGCCCTAGTGAATCAGACACTCTACTAATGTCACCCCTGTTCTTCTCCCAGTGCTTCAGGTGAGACCCCTGCCATTTTTTTAATTTGAGCAAGTGCCACATTGACATTAATCTGTATTCAAGCATTGCCTTCCCGATACAATTTTAAAACTCAGAGAAATAATTTACCTCAGATTATAAAACTTTGTTAGAAATGTGAAAAGGATGTTTCAGAATGATTTCATGGAAACTAACCAACCTGCATGCTCTTCTTCCCTGCCTCAAACTCTTTAGCTTTAAACATGCAGGAATTATTTCTGCAATGGTTTTGACTCTACTTTAATACATCTATGATTAACACCAGTTTGGATATGACTCTCAGTTGCTCCAGGACAGCGTTGCTATAGTGGAGCCACTTGTTACTGCATATAAAGTAGGAGTATCCATCTCCCAAAATTGCTACCCCCAATTTCATTTAAGCTTAATACCAGTAACTGTGAGAGGGATCTTGGAGTCTTAGTGGACAACCAATTAAATATGAGCCAACAGTGTGTGGCGGCAGCCAAAAAAGCCAATGCAATCCTAAATTGCATTAACAGAGGGAAACAATCAAGATCAAGTAATACCACTCTGTAAAGCCTTAGTAAGACCACACCTAGAATACTGCATCCAGTTTTGGTCACCACACTATTAAAAAGATGTTGAGACTCTAAAAAAAGTGCAGAGAAGAGCAACCAAAATGAGTAGGGGACTGGAAGCTAAAACATGATGAACGGTTGCAGGAACTGGGTATGGCTAGTCTAGTGAAAGGAAGGACCAAGAGAAACATGATAGCATTGTTCCAATATTTGAGGGGCTGCCACAGAGGGGAGGGGATCAAACTATTTTCCAAACCACCTGAAGGCCAGACAAGGAATAATGGATGGAAACTGAACAAGGAGAGATTCAACCTGGAAATAAGGAGAAATTTTCTGACAGTGAGAACAATTAACCAATGGAACAGCTTGCCTTCGGACGTTGTGGAGCTTCATCACTGGAAGCTTTCAAGAAGGGACTGGACTGCCATCTGTCAGAAATGGTGTAGGGTCTCCTGCTTGGGCAGGGGGTTGGACTAGATGACCTATAAGGTCCCTTTCAACTCTGTTTATCTGAATCTGTATCATTTATGTGCCATTAAGTCATTGTCAACTCTGACTGCCCAGATACAGTATATACATTTTCTCCATGATAATCCCAACCTTGTCTTTCAAGTCTTCCAGTGGTACACTCATTGTCATTGCTATCCCTACCCATTATTTAAAAACTCCAATAAAGTCTATGGAGCCAGAGTGAGGGAGTTCATTCCCTTGAGGACTTGATAACACTATGGTGGAAACCATCAGCAGTTTCTGCTGACCACACCATCTGCTGCTGTGGCTATTGCTATTCCTCTTTGCCTCAAGGTAAAGTAAGCAGAGGACAACAGAATAGGGAAATTTCCTTAAATTGCCTCATGCTATTGATAAAGTCTTGAAAAAGTTGATTTCCAATGATAGACCTGCATGGATTGAGCACATTTAGAGGACTTTCAAGTAGCCAAAAGCTGTAAATTGTTATCTTTGTTTGCATCCTCGTAAGGGGTTTTTGCCAGATGGGTCATGTGTAGCACTGGGATGAAGGATCTACAAAAGAGCTGTGGTGGCGCAGTGGTTAAGAATGCAGTACTGCAGCTAATTCTGCCGACTGCCAGCAGTTCAATCCTGACCAGCTCAGGGTTGACTCAGCCTTCCATCCTTCTGAGGTTGGTAAAATGAGGACTCAGATTGTTGGGGGCAATAGGCTGACTCTGTAAACTGCTTAGAGAGGGTTGTAAAGCACTGTGAAGCAGTATATAAGTGTAAATGCTAAGGGTATTGCTATTTGCATGACTGACATCTCCATGTAACTCCTGCGAAGCTAGCATGGCTTCATTATCTTCCCAGGGAAACAGTACCTAAAAGGTTACAGTGGACTCACCTCCTGCTGAATTGACCTTGACTAGGATCCAATCTTTGTTCCAGTCCTGACAGTCTGCTAACGATGCAACGATTTCCTTAACTGTGGCATTCACCTGTAACAGTCTGGTAAGGCAGGAATAGTCGGGCCTGTATATATCATATGAAACTATGGAGGAAGATGGAAAGGAAAGAGTGTTAGCAACAGAAGTGGTTCCTTAAATATAGAACATAACCCAACTCATCAAGCTAATCGAAACCTTGCCATCATCTCATGTAGCCAAGCCAGGGGTGAAATGCTCCCGGTTCGGACCGGATTGCCTGATCCGGTAGCGATGGCGGGGGGTGGTTCGGAGAACCGGTAGCAAAAATCCCTGGCTCCCCCATGCCCAGTTGAGCCGCGCAATCATCAGAGGCTTTCTTTTATTATTTTTAAAAGCATTTTTTTCTACCACCTCTTTGGCCGAAAAAATGCTTTTAAAAGTAAAAAAAAAAAGCCTCTGATGATCATGCGGCTCAGCTGGGATCGTCAGAGGCTTTTAAAAGCATTTTTCTACAACCTCTTCGACCAAAGAGGTTATAGAAAAAATGGTTTTAAAAGTATACAAAAAAAAAAAAAGTTGGCCACGCCCACCCAGTCTCATTCCCCCCACCAAGCCATGCCCACAGAACCCGTAGTAACAAATTTTACATTTCACCACTGAGCCAAGCTTCCATATCTTGGCGCAGTAATAATTGTTCTGATTATGCAATGGAAAATCAATGTCAGAGCAGAGTAGTTTGAATCCTAGGCAGGGAAATCATGATGACCTTTGTCCCTGATTCGGATGGTGTAACTGCTGTTCAGAAAAGGTTCTTCTTGGATGGCAAACCAGTTCACAACGTTCCTGACCTGGGAGTGAAAAAAAGGAGAAGAGACAGAAAAGAAAAGATTTTATACCGTGCAGGGAATCATAGCACAATACGAGTGGATGCTTACGGCTAATGCGCACTAAAATTTAATAGGAGAGCCCTTTCCCCATATCGCACACACCGGTCCCTTAAAGATACTTAATGCAAAGGTGGATGTCCAAAAATACAGGTAGTCCTTGACTTGCGACCACAATTGAGCCCAACATTTCTGTTGCTAAGCAAAACATTTGTTAGGTGAGTTTTGCCCCATTTTTTTATGACCTTTCTTGCCACAGTTAAGTCAATCATTGCAGTGATTAAGTTAGTTAACACGGTTGGTAAGTGAATCCGGCCTCCACACTGACTTTGCTTATCAGAAGGTGGCAAAAAGAGATCCCATGATCCTGAGACACTGCAACCATCGTAAATAGGAGTCAGTTGCCAAGCGTCTGAATTTTGATCATGGGGATGCTTCAAGAACCGTTAAGTGTATACTATGTATAGTATGAGACATGGAATAGGTGGTATAATTGGCTGGAAAAAAAGTCTAAAATGAACATATAATGAATGTTAAGAGATGATAATATAACAATATATATATATATATTTAGTGTGTAGTAGATATGTATATATTGTATATATTATATAAATAAGTACTTAAGAAATAAGAATGTACATGTACATAATAAGCCAAAGGATAAGTTGAAATTAAGAAAAATTCCAATAACAGAAAACTGTAAAAGTGTAATTGTGATTTTAAAGGTGAAAAATGTTGAATAAAAAAATATTACAAAACAAATTGTTAAGTGTGAAAAATGATGTCACTTTTTTCAGTGTTGTTGTAACTTCAAACAGTCACTAAATGAACTGTTATAAGTCAAGGGCTACCCGTATGCCTTTTTTTCTCCCCCGATCCTTCTCTATCTAGCTATATTAAGGAAATTCATAGGCTAGCAAATACATACATTCTGTTGGATGAAAGTAATAGAAATTAGAGGGACGGGCCATAAAACAGGATTTACAATGGCTAAGAACAAGTTTTTTATTCTCTCATTTTAATTAGCAAGATAAAATACGTTTTTGGAAATTCAGCATACACGTTCCTATACCAGGATTAAGCAATGTAATTCAGTTTACAGAATTCAGCTTGGGAAGAGGGTTGGGAGAGAAAATGTTGAGATGCTTCTGCATGTCTCGTTTTCTCTAAAAAGAAAGTGGGATGAATCTATCCAGGTACGCTAAGGTGTGAGGATGGAAGGGAGAGGAAGAAAGCATGACCCTGAATAGTAGGAATATTATGCCACAACGAAAAGATGGGTTTTCTGCCATAAAATGAAAGGGAAAGCATGACCACATGTAGCAGCTCTAAATATCTTCTGAGCTACTTCCCTTCTTGAGTTCTGCTTTACTTCCACCCAAAAAAAGGTCAGTGAAAATAATTAAGCAAAATTAAGCTTGGGAAGGCCATCTGCAATTGCTGATAAAGCAGGGGTGTCAAACTTGATTTCATTGAGGGCCGCATCAGGGTTGTGTTTGATCTTGGGGACCAGGTGGGTGTGGCCAGGTGGGCATGGCCAGCTCAATGTCACTCATGTCAGGGGCCTGTGGTGGCCCCAGCACTCTGCCAGCACTCTGTGTGCAGCCCTCCTCAGCTCTGTTTTCACTGGCAGAGGGTTGCAGGAGGCCATCACAGCCGAAAACAGAACTCAGATTGGGTGCGCGCGGCCCTCCCGAGCTCTGTTTTCACCGGCAGAGACACCACAGGCTGGTCCTTCGCTGTTTCCAAGGTGGCCCTGCGGGCCGGATGCGGCCCATAGGCGTTGAGTTTCACACCCCTGTGATAAAGGATTAGAAAATAATTGAACAACCTCTTGTTAGAGGCAAGAAATTACCTGTAGCTTTGGGGATGCACAGTTGTTGCCATTTTCTATCCTATTCAAAGAGGAGAAAAGTATCAAATCACAATGGTTACTTAGACCACCAGAGGCTTTGTTTTTGAGAAAACACAGCAGCGGAACTAAAACTGCAAGGATTCAAGTAGCCCAACAAAACCACTCATTCAATTGTTCTACAGTTCTCTGTTACAGTTTTTTAATTCCAAGTATATATCAACACGTCTGCGTTGTTATGCAAACATTTGGCTGCAATTGTTTAACTTGACGTCTGCCCATACCTGTGTTCAGACTTCCCAGAAAATTGGGCTTTTTGCCATGATCATCCTACTTATGACTAGGCACTTTTGCTGACATTACACAAACAATTAGACAGTTTGAGATGATATAGGAGACTCACACTCGATTTCTCCGGCGATCCTGTATTTGTTCTCGAAGCAGGGGGCCCAAACGAGCATCTTGGGTAGCATATTCTGACATGGTCTGCAAGATATTGGCCAAGACCGATTAGCACAAGCAGCAAAGCAGGCTATCTTGGAGAGGAGCAAGCCAGATTTCTAAGTCCACAATAAGGGAGAAGAATGCTAGACAACCAATGTGACTTATGTAAAAATAAATACATGAGGGACACATTAACCCGTTTTATAATATAAAGTTGTGGTGGCAACAGCAGTAAAATTAGGAGAGAGATTAGGTACTTCAGCCTTCCAATAATCTCAGCTGCAAAAATTGCTGGGGAAAGTGAGGTTTTGCATGCATATATGTATGTGGGCTATGTGAATGCCTGAGTAGGTGTGGGTTCTCCCAGCCAACACCTAGAGCTGGTGGGAGAAGGGTAGCATGTAATAATAACAATTATGGGATTTCTGAATGCAAATTGATAGAATCTTGACACATAACCCACCAGATTTAACTGTGTTTAAAAAGAAGAAAGTGCGGGCAATACCAGGGATAATGGAATAGAAGACAAAGAACTGGAGAAGATCACACAATATCAAGCTCTGAATGCTGATGGCATAAACCAGCTGTAGTGGTCTCAGTGATTATCAGCACATTGGGTGCCTTATGGAAAAATATTGGATGGCATTTAGAAAATCTGTACACTGATAAAATTTCCAATTGTCAATTACAAATGCCACACTGCTTGGATCCATGCATATATCATGCCAATGCATTACATTACTTGGGAAGAACTAGATAGATAGATAGATAGATAGATAGATAGATAGATAGATAGATAGATAGATAGACAGACAGACAGATAGATAGATAAAAATGCCAGATCCAGTCTAAACATGTGGCTGACTGTAACCAACCATAATCATCATCATCCAAAAAAAAAACTTTTGGTGGGTTATGTGTCAAGATTCTATCAATTTGCATTCAAAAATCCCACAATTGTTATCATTACATGCTGCCCTTCTCCCAGCAGCTCTGGGTGTTGGCTGGGAGAACCCATACGTAAGATCTCCGACTTCCGGGTGTTTCGTTGCGCATTGAAGACCCTGTTGTTCTGCCAGGCCGGGCTATCAACATAATAATTTTAATTGGGGTATTTTAAATTTTTGGGGTTTTAATCCGGCCAAATTTATTTAATTATTTTAATTTTTAATCATTGTTGTGTCTTGTGTTTTTAAATTGGCTGTACACCGCCCTGAGTCCTTCGGGAGAAGGGCGGTATAGAAATAAATTTATTTATTTATTTATTTATTTATTTATTTATTTATTTATTTATTTACCTACCTACCTACCTACCTACCTACCTACCTACCCAGGCATTCACATAGCGCACATATATACATTGACAAAATTACCATCCATCAATTGCCAAAGGCAGCCCTACTTGGAACTGCTTACATCCTGTGACAATATCTTTAATACCATCAAACATCCTGCATCTGCCTATCCCAAATCCTCGGGAAAGACTCGATAGGTGGACAAATGTGCCAAATCCAGTCTAAACATCTGGCTGACTATGCAACAAACCATAATACTATCCATCACCACCACATATGAACCTCAGAGGGGAGTGGGGAATTGCCTATTTCACAAGTACTGTACCCAGGCAAAACAGGCCTCCCGAGCCGTGCCAATTTATTTATTTTTCACAAATCTGAACCTCCCATCTCCCTCAATTTTTAGGGCCACTGTCTCTTTCTATACTACCATTGATGTCCAGCCCCCTACTGCCTCCTGTGTTGCTTCCCAAAGACAATGTTCTGCCTTGGGTCCTCACCAACCTCTCCTTACCTGCAAAAAAGCCACAGCACAGGCCTCTGCTTGCAGCAGCCGTCCGTACAGGGACACCCACCGACTGACCAACCACAGGATCTTTTGCCTTTTGCCCAGGATATAAGCAGCTTTGTCCTGCTCTGAACCTTCAGAAGGTTCCGAATGGAAGGTGAATGAAAGTCAAGGAGGCGCAGGCCCAGAATGATGCAATAGACCCAGAAGTGAAATGCTCCCGGTTCAGACCGGATCGCCTGATCCGGTAGCGATGGAGGCGGGTGGTTCGGAGAACCAGTAGCAAAAATCCCTGCCTCCCCCACCATTGCCCAGCTGAGCCGCGCAATCATCAGAGGCTTTTTTTTTATTTTTAAAAGTATTTTTTTCTTTTAAAAGAATGTTAAAAATGTTTTTAAAGGGAAAAAAAGCTTCTGCCGATCAGGCAAGTCAGCTGGGATCGTCAGAGGCTTTAAAATCATTTTTTTTACAACCTCTTCAGCTGAAGAGGTTGTAGAAAAAATGGTTTTGAAAGTTTCTTTTAAAAAAAAAGTTGGCCAAGCCCACTCAGCCATATTACCCCACCACCACCACCAAGCCATGCCTACAGAACCGGTAGTAACAAATTTTACATTTCACCACTGAATAGACCCCATTCAGGTTCTGAGGGTGGAAGAGGTTTTTTGGTGGGGAGGGGAGACTTGATTTCTTCACATGGCAGTAGTATCTGAGAATAGCAGGTTTTCAAAAGCATATGGAGCTGGCATGTTAACTTGCCCACAATGTCCAGTGTGATATGATATTAAAGACATTGAGGGATATTATATAGCCAACCATCAAATGTTGTTGGATATATTCCAAATGTGGCAGTAGTGAGATGGAGGCAGATGTCAACAGTGGGCCTTTGAGTTGCTGGGTCCCAGCCTGAGCTGACCAGCCTCTCCATAAATTATAGGCAAGGCTTCTCCATCTACTGCCTCCACATGGAAAACGGAGGGTTGCAATTCAGCACCCCTGGGAGAAGATGCATTGGAGAAGGTTGGTGATAGACAAGCTTGACTGAGACTCCATCTTAAAGTTGTTGTATGTCCCCAACCCCACTCCCCATCCAAATATATAATTCTGTGACCTAGAGTTATATATTCTCATAACCATCGATGCTTACAGCATTGAAAGTTAGAGAAAGGACACTTCAAAGACAAATATATATTGGAAGTCTATACATATCTGTGTTTATACACGGGATATGAAGAATTTTCCTGTCATATCAAACTTGCTGGGCATTCAGAAACAATATAGGAAAGAGGATTGACATGATGTTGCTGGAGAGAATTGAAATCAAAACCGAGTCCTCTATTTTCTTATAACATACCTAGTGTGGGTTCTAGAACTCCAACAGATTGAGAACAATGGGGGTTGTAATTTAATACATCTGGGAGACATTTAGTTGAGGAACATTGTCCTAGCGAAGGTAAGATCTTAACAGACTTTGGGGCCAAACCTGGCCCTCCAGAAGTGCTATCCCTTCCCTCCATTCCACTGTAACAATCTAAGATGCATGGGGGGAGTTATAACGCTCTTTGCTAAATCAACCCAGGGCAGTCTCATTCCAAAGAAAGACTTTTGCTGACTAGGCTTCTCCCTCTAAGATCCAAGGCAGAGGCAACCAGAAAGGATATTGTTGGAGCAAGGTTCGGCACAGCTGTGGAGTTGGCATGAACACACAGTACGTCAGGAGAAAATCTCCCAGAAATGTATCTGCAGAGAAGAGAGAAGCCATTGTGAAATGTGACTTTTAGGCAAGATATTGTTCTAATCTACTGCCAGCTAGCATAGAAGATTCGCACTCTCCTCTGCCTTGACATAACGCCAGGGGTGAAATTCAGCAGGTTCTGACAGGTTCTGGAGAACTGGTAGTGGAAATTTTGAGTAATTCGGGGAACCAGCAAATACCACCTCTGGCTGTCCCCAGGAGTGGGGAGGGAATGGGGATTTTGCAGTATCCTTCCCCTGGAGTGGGGTGGGAATGGAGATATTGGAGTATCCTTCCCGTGCCATGCCCACCAAGCCACACCCACCAAGCCACACCATGCGCACCAAGCCACGCCCACAGAACTGGTAGTAAAAAAACTGAATTCCACCACTGCATAATGCTCACACATGTTCCAACACAAGAACAACCACTGACCACTTGACCAAAGAGATAAGCAAGTAGCAAGCCCCTCTCTATTAAAATAAAGCCCAAAGATGATGATGATGATGATGATGATGATGATGATGATGATGATGATGATTATTATTATTATTATTATTATTATTATTATTAATTAAATTTATATACCGCCCTTCTCCCCGAAGGGACTCAGCCGAAAATTAAAATAACATACAATATAAAAGTTGCTGAAAGTTGCCGGCTTGCTGAAATAAAAACGTCTTCAGGGCCTTACGGAAAGTGCAGAGATCCGGGATCAGTCGTATTCCGGGAGGTAGCTCGTTCCAGAGGGCGGGTGCTCCCACAGAGAAGGCTCTCCCCCTGGGGGCCGCCAGCCAACATTGCTTGACCGACAGCACCCTAAGGAGGCCCTCTCTCTGAGAGCGTATTGGCCGGTGGGAGGTTATCGGTAGCAGAAGGCGGTCTTGTAAATACTCTGGCCCTAAGCCATGGAGCGCTTTAAAGGTGAGAACCAACACCTTGAAGTGCACCCGGAAGACCACCAGGAGCCAGTGCAGCTCGCGCAGGAGAGGTGTTATATGGGAGCGCCATGTCGCTCCTGTAATCACCCGCGCGGCCGCATTCTGGACCAGTTGGAGCCTCCGGGTGCTCCTCAAGGGGAGCCCCATGTAGAGAGCATTACAGTAGTCTAGGCGAGAAGTGACGAGAGCATGAGTGACTGTGCATAAGGAATCCTGACTCAGAAAGGGGCGCAACTGGCATATCAGGCGAACCTGATAAAAAGCCCCCCTGGCCACGGCCGTCCTGTGCTCTTCTAAAGACAGCCGTGTGTCCAGGAGGATGCCCAAGTTGCGAGCCCCCCCTGTGGGGGGTCAATGACTCACCCCCAATAGCCAGCAATGGCACCTGCTGGCTATATCGGGATGCCGGCATCCACAGCCACTCGGTCTTGGAAGGGTTGAGTCGAAGCCTGTTCCTCCCCATCCAGACCCGCACGGCCTCCAGACACTGGGACATCACTTCAAGGGCATCGTTGGGGTGGTTTGGGGTGGAGATGTACAGCTGAGTGTCATCAGCGTACAGATGGCACCGCACCCCAAATCCACGGATGATCTCACCCAGCAGCTTCACATAAATGTTGAACAGGAGTGGCGAGAGGACCGACCCTTGTGGCACCCCACAAACAAGGCACCTCGAGGTCGACCTCTGCTCCCCTGCCAACACAGACTGCGACTGGTCGGAGATAGGAGGAGAACCACCGCAAAGATGTTCTTCCTGTCTAAAGACTATCTATGTGATTAGGGCTGGGGGTCCTTCCAGGCAAAGTATGATTCCCAGAATAGATAGATTTTTATTGGGAGTATGGATAACATGGTTGCTTTCCTACATCTTTTTCATCTTGCTTCTTTCCACAAAGGCCATGAAGAAAAAGACAGCAGAGCTGCACAGTGTCTTTGAATTGGCCCAACTAGAACAGGAGTGCTGTTCTTGGCCTTTGAGTGACATCCTGGAGAAGGGAAAGGACAGCGATCACCTCCAACTATGGATGGGTTGAGGAAGAAAAGTGGGTGGAGCCAGGGCAACCATTAAAATTATTTAAGTTAATTATTTAGTTATACCAAATATTTATTTTTGCCCATGTTGTCTTCGTTAAAATAACTCAAAATGGTGAACCAATTGGACAAAATTAATTAAAATCAGGTACAGGAAGTCCTTGATGTGTGACCATTCACTTAGCGACTATCCAAAATTACAACAGACCTCCCCCCTCCCCCCCACCAAAAAAAGATACTTACAACCCGGATCCAAAATTCTGACAATCCCAGCCTCCCCACCTCTGTGGTCACATGAATGTATTTTGGGCACTTGGCAATTGGTCCAATTTATGATCCTTTGCAGCACCCCATGGTGACATGATCACAATTTATATTTTGGCCCAAACCCCAGCAATTACTTCCAGTTTTGGGCAAAAACGTCCCATAGCGAACAGTGGGTTTGCTTAACAGCTACCAGATTTGTTTAATGACTGTCATAAAAAAGTCGTAAAATTGAATCAGTCATAAAGACGATGCACTTCACTACTGTCACAATTGTAATCGCCAGGCTCCATTATAGTCATACATCAAGGACTACATGTAATATAAACGGGTAATCGTCCCCAGGAATCTTCCTTTTGAAATACAGCGAAAGTGACCATTCATAGCAATATTTGAAGGGGCTTTATGATTTTGTGCAACTATGCATTGTACACATGTGCCTTAGAAAATTTAATATGAAATCATCCCCAGGATACAATTTTCAGTTCTGCTCTGGACAAATTAGCATCTTGCAATCCTCAACTTCACACTATATTGGCTTATAGAACAACAATTGTTCTGGAGATTTTTCCTTTATGCAAACTATTTTATACTCACCCACAGGATCAGAAAGGGTAGAATCTGAACGCATGGTTTCCAATAGGTAATCAAGTATTTTTTCAGGGGTTCCAGCCATCACTGAATATCTGAAGGAAAGAACAAGATATTGGGATCCAAAGTAGTAATTATATCATGGAAACCAATCTCAAGAGACCTACCTAACATCTACCAAACAGCTACAACTCATCAACTATGGAAGCCCTTCTTGGACACATTTAAGGACCCCACAGGTTGGTTGCATTTTCAGCCATGATGGTTTTCCTCATATTACCCCCATATAATTACAGTAATTATCTACTCCAGCCTATAAGCAGTAAGTAAGCAGTAAGTCGCCTTGTGTCGAGATGGTCAGCAAACAAATGTAATAAATAAATAAGTACAGGTAGTCCTTGACTTACAACCATTCGTTTTGTGATCGTTCGAAGTTATAACGCCACCCAAAAAATTTGATTTGTGACCATTTTCACACTTACAACTGTTGCAGCATCCCATGGTCACAGGATCAAAATTCAGATGCTTGGCAGCTAGTTCATATTTACGAAAACAGTAACTGTGAGAGGGACCTTAGAGTCCTAGTGGATGATCATTTGAATATGAGCCAGCAATGTGCAGCAGCAGCCAAAAAAGCTAATACAATCCTGGGTTGTATAAACAGAAGCATAGAATCAAGATCACCTGAAGTATTAGTGCCACTTTACAAAACCCTAGAAAGACCACACCTGGAATACTGCAACCAATTTTGGTCACCATATTGCAAAAAAGATGTTGAGAGTCTGGAAAAAGTCTTTGGAGACTAAACCATACAAAGAACAGCTGCAGGCTTTGGGTCTGGCTAGTCTAAAGAAAAGAAGAATTAGGGGGGACATGATAGCAGTATTCCAGTATTTGAGGGGCTGCCACAAAGAAGAGGGGATCAAATTATTCTCCAAAGCACCCAAAGAGGACAGGACAAGAAATAATGGTAGAAAACTAATCAGAGAGAGAAGCAACCTGGAATTAAGGAGAAACTTCCTAACAGTGAGGACAATTAACTAATGGAACAGCTTGCCTCCAGAAATCATGGGTGCTCCACCACTGGAGGTTTTTAAGAAGAGTCTAGACAGTCACTTGTCTGGGATGGTATAGGTTCTCCTGCTTGAGCAGGGGGCTGGACTAGAAGACCTCCAAGGTCCCTTCTAGCTCTATTCTATTTCTATTATTTCTATTTCTATTAATTTCTATTCTATTCTATTCTATTCTATTCTATTCTATTCTATTCTATTCTATTCTATTCCATTCCATTCCATTCCATTCCACTCCACTCCACTCCACTCCACTCCACTCCACTCTCCACTCCAGTCCACTCCAGTCCACTCCACTCCAGTCCATTGTATTGTATTCTACGATGGTTATAGTATTCCAGGATCATGCAATCACATTTTGTGCAAAGTCAATGGGGAAGCCAGATTCACTTAACCTAAGAACTGCAGTGATTCACTTAACAACTGTGGCATGAAAGGACATAACATGGGGCAAAACTCACTTAACAACTGTCTCTCTTAGCAACAAAAATGTTGGGCTCGATTGCGGTCATAAGTCGAGAACTACCTGTATAGATTCTACACTTGTATATATCTAAAGCAGTGCACAAACAAAATCAGCATGCCATTTACAACGAAGCAATTTGTACAATAAACTTTACTGAAGCAAAGAGATTTCAGCATTACATTCATGAGGAATTAGTGACTTCCCTATCAAACATATGGGGTGCAGAAGAGACTGCTTGCAAGGAAAGATTCCCTGTTCTATCAAAGGGAAAAGGAAGGGGGTAAACGAAGAGGCAGGTACATCAGAGGAAGGAGCAGGGAAATGAAGGGGGCAGATTGCTGTACCTACTGCTCCCCAGAGTCCCAGCAAGGTGACTGGAATTACTGCCTTGTGAATTCTTCTCTAAAACAAGCACCACTTTCCCATGTTCCTTCAGCCGTAGGGTGTTAGCTTCGACATCCTAGGAAGAAAACAAATGATTATATGCTATTTACATGATTGCACACTAGCCAAGAAAAGAAAAGAAAAAAAAATAAAATAAAAGGGGGGGAAATCCATTTCTGAATTCTTTACTAGATTTGACATCCATATGCAAGTCTTGGGCAGCCCAATTACCAGGCTCCTGTGATTTTGTCACAATGTTGGCATAAGGCATAAAATCCAAATAGATTAATTTAAAATATCAAAGCAGAGAAACTTATTTTTAATCACTCTAGCATTTTTCTTTCAAAGAAGTCTGCAATATGCAGTCAAGTACCACAAGCAGGCTGGTTAATCAGTGTGATCAAGACTGGCAAGTGTTGGAATTTAGCAGGGGGGGAATCTACAATACCTATCCCCCCTCCATTTGGGACTCTGCATCGTTGTTCGAATATTCCAACTAATTCTGATTAATATATATCAGAGGTAACAGAAGCAGTGGCATAATAGAGGTTGTGTACAATTTGCGTTAGACCAATACAAAGAGAGGCAATGATGCAGACAGTCGTCGAGGTCATCAAACATGAGAATCTGCATTCACCATCATTTTGAAAGCCACATATTGCCACTAGGAATAAATAAATTCACGTAAAATAGATTAAGGGCAGAAAAGTTGAAGCAAAGAGAAGGGTAACTGGGCTCTGGAAAAGATACAACCACGAGGAACAAAGAGGAAGCCAAAATAATGGAAGACAGAAGAATATCTAAGCACTTCATGGCTTAAATTTGGAGTAGACTATGAACTTTATTTATATACCTGCCTCTCCATCCTTCAGTGCTCTCAACTTCCTTGTACAAGAGATAAACTTCCTCCCACCAAACAAAGTACACTTAATGTTGCAAATTTGTTCCCCAAACACAACAGTTTCAGTGTCCAGCATGATGGATTTCCATGCCTACCTTGAGAATCCGGTTGAAATCCCTTTTGTCCACTCGCAAGAAGTGGCAACTGTCTTCACGAAGGATGATGGTGGCAGCACGGGGGGCATCGTTCACAAGTGCCAGCTGGCCAAAGTCATCACCTTCATGTAGGGTGCACACTAAGCCCTGCAGAACGAGTGAATGAACCAATTATTTCAGACACAAAGTCTAGATACCACCTTGGCAAATATGAGTTGCCCTACTGAGGTCATTTGACTACTAAAAACACAAAATTGTTCTTTTGTATCTTATTTCTAACTTAACCAGGAGGAAACCAGATTAAACACAGCCTAGGAAGAAAGGGCAACTGTTGTAAGGACAGAAGGTTAAGCACACACAATTATATTAATTTTGCCTTGCAAAGGCACACCCCCCTGAATGTCTTAAATGATATGGTAAACCTGTTTTTATTCAGCAACACGGCGTTCCACCCTATTTTAACCTCTTAGATATATTTATTTTCTATTATATGGCTACTGTACTCCAGGACACCATTTTATGATAAGTAATATAAACATACATAGGAAGTGAGCACAGCAGACAAAAAGCCAAGCCATTTTCCCACCTTACCTTTGTACCCTATTCTTTCTCTCTCTCTATATATATATATATAGAAACATATGTTTGTATGCAAACATAAGGGGATGGGAAGCTGATTTGCAATGGGCAAATTCATTCATGTGGACAAATTTTAGCACTAAAATTATCCAGGGAGGGCAGGGAAATTTGGCACACAGGATTTTATTGCACTTTATATTCTTTCGTGGATTTGTGAATTAGGGAGTAGGTGAGGTGATGTCTAGGAAAATTACAGATGTTTAAATTAGCCTTGTATATATGGGAACCTTACAGAAAGGTAAATTTTGACCCCAGACTTTCCCCAGTCAACCTGAATATTGTTGAGGATTTGGGGAGTTGGAGCCCAGACAGCTGGAAAATGTCTGCATTATTCAAAGGTGAGTTGTTATTTAACAAGGGAAGGGTTAGATCATGACAAAGGAAGAATTTGTAACCATGTAAAAATTTGAGATAAAGCTATTCATCAATTGTTTGCAAATGCAAGCAACTCTAAAGCATAAATCCAAGGGCTAGAAACATTGAAAGAAATAAGAGTTCACGCTCTTCTGGTATCTGAATGCCTGTAGAATTTTTGGGACTTATTCTGAAACCAAGCCTTTTGATGCCTAAAGAGATTAAAAGTTCACACCTTATCATGCGTAACAACATTGACTGATCCCTTCCAAATGATGTACCAGGACGTGCCCTTGTCCCCTTGGCTGAACACTATGGAGGAGGGGGAAAAAAAGGACTATATGTTAATTACATGGAAAATTACGGCAGAGGCAAATGTAGTGCAGTTAAAAATGAACATTTTTAGAAATAAATGAACAGAAGAAGAAAAGGATCTCTTGAGCTGGAGTTAAGAACAAAAGAGCTAACTGGGAGCCTTTTAAAAAGGAATACACAGACTTTAAAGAGAGAAAAATGAACAGCAACACTGACAGCTTTCCTCCCTGATTTTGCAGAATGAAAGGATTGTTGAATGCCATCGTTGTTCCTTTTTACAATGGTTGGCATAAATTGTTGTGATACTGCAAGTGGCATGCATAAAGATGCATATCATTTCAAAGTTGCCAACTCACAATGGTTACTACAGCTGCCAGCCTAGCTAGCTACAGTTAAATTTGCTGCATAAAGTAGCAGTATGGGATACAGGAGGGCCACTGTCAGAGACAGAAAGAGTATGGCAAGAAAAACGTGCAACTCACACACAGTTCCAGCCTTGGCATGAGACTCAAAAAGCAGTACAGCGGCCAACTCTCTCCTCACCTGCAATGGAGAAACAGCCAGTGAGTAGGCCCTATAGCACGTTTCACTGAGCTATCGCATGTTTCAGAAAGCAACAGTTGGTAACCGAAGTCAGCATGTGGCATAAGACAGCATTTAAGGTAAATCCTTACATTTCTAAACTCAATCCATACTGAGACAAACAAACTGAAGGTTTATAAAATAGATGCCTGTTTTTATGTTTTAAAATCTTCAGGGGAAGGGAGGGAGGAAGGGAGGGAGGGAAGGGAAAAAGGGAGGGAGGGAAGAGAGGGACGGAGGAAGGGAGGGAGGGAGGAAGGGAAGAAGGAAAGGGAGAGAAGGAGGAAAGGAGGAAGGAAGGAAGGAAGGAAGGAAAGAAGGAAGGAAGGAAGGAAGGAAGGAAGGAAGGAAGGAAGGAAGGAAGGAAGGAAAAACAGGTGTATAAATGGGCTGTAACTCATATCTATATCAAGAATCAACTTTAGATGGGATGTTGGGCATTGGCAGAGGTACAAATGAAGACTTATCAGGTAGAGAAGTTGAATTAATTCACAACACAAAATTCCCCAAAGCTCACTGGGAAGGAAAAATATGCAAGTAATTGTTGGTTCCTGGTGTAAGAAATATAACATTTGGCTGGAAAATACTGTTGGCATCCATAGATCCCTTAGGAAAGGAAAGCAGAAAAGGGATTCGTGCCAACAAAGCACTGATTATTGTAAGTGCCTGGTACTAGATTTTCTGTAGCTTTGCAATATTTCAGTTGTGCCAGTTACATCCTGTTTGTTTGGCGCTATGGACTGCTGCACTTCTGCATTATACCATAGTTCCTTCCTGTCTTGTCCTCCACAGACATCTACAATACGAAGCACGTCACCTAAGAAATCTCAATGCAATCAACCAAGGGTTTGTTTTCTTAAGTCAATGTGTAAATTACACAATGTACTTTGGCAACCTGAATAGGGAAATGGCAAACAAGCAAATAAGAAAATGCCATGGTGCCAGTACTTAACATGATTTTATTTTTTCCATAAGAGTAATCAGTAGACATTCAGGACAGGAGAGCAAAAACCTGTAGGAGAGCAAAGCTGAACAGAAACCCTGCCCACCCTCCCCTATTCTAGTGTGTATGCTTTATGTATAACAAACCAATCATTTAAGGCAGTGGTTCTCAACTTGTGGGTCGGGACCCCTTTGGGGGTCGAATGACCCTTTCACAGGGGTCACCTAAGACCATCGGAAAATACATATTTTCAATAGTTTTAGGAATAATTTTATGGTTGGGGGTCACCACAACATGAGGAACTGTATTAAAGGGTCGCAGCATTAGGAAGGTTGAGAACCACTGGTTTAAGGGGAGCATTAAGTAGAGTAGAAGTGAATCCAGCTCTAACTGCTGGATTGGATGCATTTGGAGTGACTGAGAGTTGATTACATGGATATATAGGTATTAATTAGACAGTCTGGGAAATTCATGTAAAAAAGTACATTCGGGGAAAGAGTACCAGAAAATATGTTACCCTATTTGCTTTGCTACTAAAAACTTCATTTATAACTAGACATATTCACAACCCTGAAACAATATGCAAATGACCAACTGTGTGCAAGGAATATAAATCCTTCCATTCCCCACCATCCAGTCACAGCTGAAGAAGCTTCTTGGATGAGAAGCGAAACATCTTCAAAGAAAAAACAAGAAAGTCCAGTTGCCTCCTGAAAAAGCACCTTTGGGACAACCATGACCTGGATGACTGAGGATCTCTACAGACTTTAGACATATTCATGTTTATTACTTACATTGCAATAGCAGTAGAAGAATAGCTGCCATTTTGTTTTCCTATTTACCTCACAAGATTGTTGTTGTGGAGAAAATAGGAGGAGGAAGCAGCATTATGTATGTTTGCCTCTTTGAATTACTTATAGAAGGATATGTAATCCTTGACCTCAATTGAATCCAGAATTTTGGTCATAGATTGTTGCAGTTGTAAGTCAAGTCACTACATGACTGGACTCAACATTATGGTTTACATTATTATGGTTTATGGATACTTTTATGATCTTCAGGATCTTGCTTACATTTGTGAAGCAAACCACATGGTCTTATGGTCACAAATGTGAGCCAGTTGCCAAGTGCCAAAAATGTGATCGCTTGACTGCAGGGTGGTACAGCAGTGATAAGTTTGAGGATGGGCCAGAAATAACATTTTCAAGGCCTTGTAACTTCTAATGGTTGGTAAGTGACCAGTCATAAATCAAGGACTATCTGTAATAAAGGTGGGATTTAAACAATTTAATAATAAAAAATAAATTAAAAACTAGAAGGCTGCAGACTTGGCCCATTTCATGGCATTCTGGGGGGAAAAGTGTGGGCACTGCAATACAGTGATGTGATGGCTGGGCTATAAAGAGAAATCAAACGGGCATCCAATCAACAGAGAACCAGCAAATAAGGAATCCTTTCCATTTTCAACTATATGTTGGATAGGATGACAAAAACGAACCAATTCCTTCCTATTCGTTATTCACAGCGTATTCATAACAAATTAAAGTTAGGCCAATGAGACAGAATCTGTTAGCTACTCACCGAACTGGAGAGATGGGCTACCGCTTTGACATGCAGTAACTCCTCAAAGATCAGTGCAAGTTCCTCATCTGTGCGTTGGTTAGGACTGGAGGAGAAAGACCAAAATGAAACACACATTCCCCCATCAGTTGATATCAACATTGCTGATCTCAGATCTATGCATACAAAAACATCTTAAGCCCATAAGATTACATTCACAGCTGTGTATAGTCCTTCTCTCTCCTCAGGAAGGACAAAGATCTATTCAAAATATGCATGCTTCCTTCTTGACAGGAAGTTCCTTTTAGCTTTCTCAGTCATTCCTGGCTTCCAACACAAATATTAGGTCCATTACCCAGATCCTGCAAAGCTTAACTCTGAAATATTCAAGGACCATACATTCCTTTTTAAGAAAGCAAGACCTGATTCTTATACTCTACATTGTACTAAGGCACAGAAAGAGCTTCCGAAGTTTGTCTGTTAAGACTCTTTTGAAGGAATAGAAAATCAGATCTTCTTGTGGTCCAGCAGGTTCTTAAGTTTCTGGCACAGTTCCATGAAACTGTTGCTTCTTCTGACGTTTTTTGCTGATTTAAATGGATGTACAAAAAATACATACACAGTCACACACTTTTATAAGGGATCACCATGGCAAAGTCTTTGCTTCACCTGCAAAGGGACTGCAGTTCAATCCTCAGTGTCCTTAGTCATTTTTTTCCCTTGAATAGAATCTATAGAACAGTGTTGGCAAACCTCTTCGGCACTGAGTGCCAAAATGGAAGTTTGCGCATGCGAGCATGCCGGAAACTGGAAGAACAGCCACCTGGTGCGCATCACAGGAAAGCGGAAGAGCAGCCGCTTGGTGCACATGCGCACGCTGGGAAGATGATCTTCCAGTTTCTGGAGCATGCATGTGCCCCGGCCACCTGGTCTTCCGGTTTCTGGCATGCATGCGCGTGCTGGAAACCAGAGGATCATCTTCCCAGAGCGCATATGCACATTGGGCAGCTGCTCTTCTGGTTTCTGGTGCTCCCACGTACGTGAAGATCACCTGGCTGGCGTACCGGAACCCGGAAGAGCAACGGGCAGCGACTCACGTGCCCAGAGAGACGGCTCTGCGTGCCACTTCCAGCACACGTGCCATAGGTTCGCAATCACGGCTATAGAAATTCTGTATGAATTAAATACACTGAATCCAATAATCATTATTCTCCATTTTATAGAACTATGATCCATGGACTAACTTCTTGAAATTTTCTCTTTTTTTTTTCTTGACTGCTACCTGCAATCAATGCTTACGGTTTGCGTAGGATGGTGGTGAGCAATGCAGTTGGGCCCAGCTGGGTCAGCAATGCCAACGCCTCCAGTAGTTCCTCTCCATCCCTGTCTTCAGCACTTGGTTCCAAGGCCACAAATCGGAAGAACTGAGCATCTCGATCCTGAAAGTAGCTCTCCTGTCGTACTGCATGGACAAGGGAAGGTGATTCCAGGGCATAAAGGAGGAAATAAGGAGGATCAAGTCAAGAAATGATTTCATTCCACCACTAAGATTGCAAGGAAGATATTCCACCAAATCACCATCTCATTTACCTCTTACTAAAGGTAATGAAAGTGATCTGGATCTACAAAATAAAAAAAATCATTTGGGGTATATGTAGACAAAAGTGCCCAGGAAAAGAGCCACACAGCCTCCTTATTCTAGCATGAACAACTCCATTTATCCATTTCTGAGGACAGGGCACTGGCTTCATCTCACAGACCACAGACCTTTATGTCATAGGCTGTAGCTAGTCCAAGCTCTTCCAGTTTACCAATAGACTTTGCCGTAGTAACCAAGGCATGTATGATAGGGAGCAGAGGCCCCCATTCCAGGAAAGGGCATAAATGGTACACAAGATGAATTTGTCCAAAGGTCCCCCACCTACTTCTCAAGCAATAGCTGCAAGTCCAGGGGAACCCACAAATTGTGAACCAGCTGTGTGTAGGGAAGTCTACTTCACTGAGAGTCAGAAATGAGACCTCACCAGATCAAAGAGAGTGAAAAGCCATTCCATCTTGCTAGGGTTGAATTCTCCCCCCACACCACACCACCAATATCGTCACAGCCTCCAAGCCTCCAAGCACTGAAACAACATCTGTACAGATGGAATGTAAGTCTATATCCGAATATCACTAGTATTGTCTATGTCATATAATACATATGGGTATATGCATAATTTTGTATTTATTTATTTATTTATTTATTTATTTAGTCATGTTTATGTAGCATATATTGGAGGTGGTGACCCTTTGAGAGCTACAAGCAATGAAATTTCATTTTAATGTATGCAGTTAGTGTACATTCAAAGTGACAATAAAATTATTCTAAGTCTAAGTCTCTATGCCATTGAATAACCACATCTAGCAATATTAAAAAGGAGCAGTGAGAAACTTGAACTCTGAGACCACAAATATGGGAGGGCCTAGGGTTAGACCTCTCCACCACCATGACCAATACTGACTGGAACCCCAAAGTATTTCCAAAAGGATACCACAGTCAATGGTATCAAAGCTATCAAGATAATTAAAAGGAGGGCCAGGAGAGATTTACCACTCCCATCCTGGACTTCCAGAAGTCATCAGCCAGTGTGACCAATGCCATCTCAGTACCATAACCCAGTCTGAACCCTAACTGAAGACTCCAGATAATCCACTTAACCCTGGGCCTGCCAGACTTTCGTGAAAAGGGAAGGTTGCAGCATTCACAAAAGTTGTCAAAATGATTGGATCCAAGGATGGCCTCTTAGGAAGGTGCAAACTATTGTTTCCCTCAAAGCAGGCAGAATACCTCCTCCAGAAAAGACAGGATCCAAGACTTGGATCCAGAAGGTGGGTCTAGTACACAGATAACAAATACAGTCAGGTCCAGAAATATTGGGACATCGACACAATTCTAACATCTTTGGCTCTATACACCACCACAATGGAGTTGGAATGAAACAAACACAATGTGCTTTAACTGCAGACTGTCAGCTTTAATTTGAGGGTATGTACATCCAACTCAGGTGAACTTGATTTATGATTATTATTCTGTCCCATTACCTTTGGTCCCTTAACAAGTGGGAGGCACATATGCAAACTGCTGTTAAGCCCTACACTGTTCACCTGAGTTGGATGTACATACCCTCAAATTAAAGCTGACAGCCTGCAGTTAAAGCACATTGTGTTTGTTTCATTCCAACTCCATTGTGGTGGTGTATAGAGCCAAAGATGTTAGAATTGTGTCGATGTCCCAATATTTCTGGACCTGACTGTACATGTGGCATGAAATAGAAAAAGCTACAAATAGGGCCAAATTAAAACCTTTCTGTTGGGTTTTCTGGCAATGCAAATGAACTCTTTCCAAATCAATCAAGAAAAAAAAAAACCCACAGTTATCATACACAGTGAGATCTCTATAAATAGAACTGTTTTTTCCCAGGCTACCCCAGGCTACGAAAAAACCAATTTCTGATTTAAAAATAACCTGAGTTGCTTCTGAGAGAGCAGGAACACTACCGGCTTTGTTACAGCACTACAATGAAAGGAAGGCTGTGGGAGGGACTTCCAGTGGAGGCACGGCGAGCTAAATATGTCTCCAGGAGACTAGAGAAGATTAACACAAAACAGACTGAATGACTAGACCAGTTTTTCCAAATCTCTTCAGATAAGGAGAGGATGGGAGATCACCCACATGTGCTCTGGACAACTGCTCATGAAATTACAAGACAGTGGTCTAACATGGGTCTGAGTGCCAGGAAACAAAGGGATCAATAATGAAGCTCACAACCACAACAGAGCCATTTAAAAGACATTCAGTTTACTAACCTCGCTTCTAATAAGTTACGGAGATTGCCTACTTAGTTTTTTTAAGGCTAGTAGATACCTTGCCACCTGGTGAGTTTATCTTCATTTCTCCACAGAAGAAAAAGTAACCATACGTTTAAGAACTTAAAAGAATATGAAATAAATAGCAAAAAGCTAAATAAGAATTTGAGCCAAGAAAGCCATAAACAAATTAAGAATCCAAAAAAATTGGAACACCAAAACTTTTACTATAAAATTTTAGAACTAGCTATATAAAATAAAGAGATTTTCATGGGAACCAGAATTATTTTGTCTATTGTTAAGTTATAATAGATTTAGAGATCTTATGATTTAAATTTGATTTCTTTTGCTATTGTATGTTTGGTTTTAAAATGTAAAATACTCAATAAAAATTATTTTATAAAAAAAGTAATAAATTGGATGCTAGACAGGACTAAAAATTCCAGGCAAAATGGAAAAAAAAACTTTCTGCTTTTGGTTTTTGATTAAGATTGGGATCTACAAAATAAAACACTGTAACATTTGAAATATTAAAGAAGATTGAAGAATGGGTCAGAAATTAGTAGCCACAATATCAATATCAGTAGTGTTGTCTGCTTCAATAGGTTTTAAAGGATATAAATGAAGGAATGACAGAATGTGAAAAAAATCTTGCTTGATATAAAAATAATGGAGTCTGAAATATTGGATAAAAATGCAGATAACAAGATAAAGAACGTGTTTAAAGTGGACATACAAATGATAAGAGAATGACCCAAATAGGGACTCTTTACTGGATAGCAAAAGAAGCTGAATGAAGTTTTAAAAATTAAAAGTGAAATGCAAATGATAAACCAAGTTTATAAACCTGAATAATGTCTTTTTATTGGATTTACAAAAGAGGCTTTTTAAAGCCTCAAAGAAGCCGATGCAAAGGAACAAAGGAGAATTGAAGAGATAAAATCCTACAACAATATTTGAAAGCACTAAAGATTATGATTTTCAGAAACAAAAGGAAACAATATGAAATTGATTTTGATCAAGATTTTAAAAAAAGATTTTTTGTAAAGTTCTGGCAGCCCTTTACAGACTTTTGGCTGACATCAGAGCTGAAAAGTTGATGTCTTGTGGATTTATTTATAGATAAGCAATGGCTTATGGGAAGAAGATATATCTGTTTGTAAACTTATACAGAGTGAAGAGCTTCCAAACTTGTTTATACTTGTGAATAAGATTGGAAGTCAAGTTTTTACATATTTTTTTTCTTTTTTCTTTTCTTTCTTGTCTTGCTTTGTTTTCTTTTTCTTTACTTTCCCTTTTTTTTGAGCTTGGTTTGTATTAATTTTTATGAGAGAGTGGGGGAAGGGAGAGGGAGAGAGGGAGGGAGAGAGAGAGAGGGGGAGGGAGGGAGGGAGAGAGGGAGGGAGGGAGAGAGAGAGAGCTTTCTATGGATATTTTTTCCATGAGGGAGAGCACATTGTTGTGGGTTCATGAATGAGACCACCACAGCTTCTTCAATAGATTGCCAAGCGGTGCAAATACATTCCATAGTACCTTTTCTCTTTTAAATGCAAATTACTGCACAACCCTTTGCCTTATAGCTTTGTTTTATCTCTAGAATTCACAGTCATGATAAAGAACGGGAATCAAATTATGGATTCCAGGAAACCAAAGGTAGGAATACATGTTTGATCTGGAGATTTGGGCAGTACTGCCCCGTTTATAAATCTAACTCGGGGGGGGGATGTTAAAGGCTCAGTGAGCAAAAGAACATTTAAGACTGGGCTGAGTAATACCTGTTCAAATGCTCTTCAATGCTATACTGTAGAGAAATCAGAGCCTAACTCAAGAGATGATCAAAGCAGGCTCCCTTGAGGCAGATGAGAAAAAACTGAGTGCTGGATTGATGGCCAGCATGTATCTCTTACTTAGTCTTAGTAGGGAAGAGATTGATGTCACAGTAAGATAGGTAACTGGCTTTGTGACCCCACTACCAGACCAACCAATCAAGCAACCAACCAATCACATAATTTCTCACAAAAGTCAAGATTCTGAGGAAGTGTTTTTCAACCTTGGGAACATTAAGAGCATGCTGGCTGTGGAATTCTGGGAGTTGAAGCCCACACATTTTTAAGTTCCCGTGGTTGAAAAACACTGCTGGAGACCCCGTTTCCTTTCATTTACAGATTGGATTCTATTTCGCACCTTGCCTTCCTTCCACAAAATTCAAAAATCCAGACCCAGGATTGTCCTACTGGCCTTCCACCCCAGGAACTGATGGATTACATCTGTTTAGCTTCAGCAAAATGAGTGCATCCGTGTCTCTTTGGATCATGTTCAGGGATACTTTGTTATTTGTTTGCTTTACAAAAATTTTGCTAACATCTCGCTAACAAAGAAAACAAAGAGTAGAAACAAAATAGACCAGTTTCTCAAAGGAGGAAAGAAAGAAAACATAAAAAGAATAGGTTTGCTGCGCTAGATAGATTTAGATTTCCTTTGGAAATCATTTATTTGTTTGTTTGTTTGTTTGTTTGTTTGTTTGTTTATTTTATTAAATTTCTATACCGCCCTCCTCCCGAAGGACTCAGGGTGGTGAACAGCCACAAAATAAAACACATAAATACAAAAGTTTAAAATAGAATGAAAACGAATTAAATAATTTGGCTGAGACAAATTTAAAATACCCCATAATTTAAAAACAAATTAAAATTTACATTTAAAAAGGGAAGATTTAAAATGGATTAAGACATTATATGAATTCCTTATACCTAAAAGTTAATGGCATGCTTTCTCCTACTTTTCTACTATTCAGGGCAAACCAGACAAAAATGTCCACTTTCACCCACGCTTTTTAATATCTGCGTGGGAACCCTTGATGTGGGCTGTTAACACAGAGAGATATACAGAGTAGTACATAACACTTGATCACAAATTGACTTTATTTGCAGACAATATTCTTTTATTTCTTAACATCATATTACTATGCCAGTGTTGGTGAAATAAAAATATAAAATTTTAACTGTTGATGGTTATAAAAGACATATATTACTTTTGGCTGTATATTTTTTCCATTTGTTTGTTATAGCACTTTTTATGTGTGTTTTTTTCTCTTTGACAATGTAGATATCACTATCACTATTATTTTATTTTTTTTCTTATTAATTTAAAATACAATAAGGTAGTCCTCGACTTACAACAGCTCATTTAGTGATCGCTCAAAAGTTACAACAGCACTGAAAAAAATGACATGACCTGTTTTTCACGCTTACAACCATTGCAGCATTCCCAGGGTCACGTGATCAAAATTCAGACACTTGGCAACTGACTCGTATTTATGACGGTCGCAGTGTCCTGGAGTCACGTGATCCCCTTTCGTGACCTTCTGACAACCAAAGTCAATGGGGAAGCCAGATTCATTTAACAACCTTGTGACTAACATTAACAACTGCAGTGATTCACTTAACAACTGTGGCAAGAAAGGTCGTAAAATGGGGCAAAATTTACTCAACAACCTGCCTCGCTTAGCAACAGAAAACTGTGGCTCAATTATAGCCATAAATCAAGGGCTACCTGTAATAAATAAATGTAGAATTTCCTACTAAGAATTGTATTGAGACTAGGAGCATAAACCAAAGTTCTCAAAAGATCTCAAATAGTGATTAAAAATAAACCCTGGGCATGAAGGGTGAGAATATTACATTTCCAATAAATATCATTAGATTGTTGTTTTAAAAAATAATAATCAATGAGAGAGTCAAAGAATAGGAGTTTAGCCAAAAGCAATGCAGATAGGAGTATTTTGCAAACTGCCATGCTTTTTTTCCTCACGCAGAAAGTGACACTTACCATGAGCCAGTACTCCTTCATCCATCAACACTTGACAAAGCCCAAGGGCCTGGCTGCGGGTCTGCACCGAAAGCCCTGCACTAAGAAGTGCGTCTACCAGTTCCTTCCCAGAACAACACTGCCTGAAAGAAACACAAAACGACAGTGATTTCCAAGTCGTTTTTGAGATCAAGGTAACTAAGAGGGCATGCTTCAAGTTCCAGGTAGGATTGTTCACTGATAAAGCTCCAGGTTAATGTTCCTCACATTTTCTGCTATCATGGACCTCTAAATAAATGTTCGGAAAATGCAGGGATCACCTTATTAAAGAAATCTCTCCTCTATGAGCATAGTTCTTTGGAGCTGAATAAAATAATGATTATACTTGTATTTGTGCACAGCTTCATGCCCCTCCACTTTAGATGAGATCATCATGGCTTGTTATTGATGCTACTGTCCCCTTCCATCAGGGGTGAAATCCAGCAGGTTCTGACAGGTTCTGGAGAACCAGTAGCAGAAATTTTGAGTAGTTCGGAGAACTGGCAAATACCATCTCTGGCTGGCCCCCGAGTGGGGTGGGAATGGGGATTTTGCAGTATCCTTCCCCCGGAGTGGGGAGGGAATGGAGATTTTGCAGTATCCTTCCTCTGCCACACACACCAAGCCACGCCCACCAAGCCACACCATGCCCACCAAGCCATGCCCACAGAACCGGTAGAACTGCCTTCCATCCATTGTTGGGACAGGACAGAAAACAGGTATGTTACTGAAGGTTCCTGGTTAGGTCCCTTAGAAGAATTCCAGACGTTATTTAACTGAGAAATTTGCTCCCATAAGTTGGCAAAAGCTGTAGTTTTTGACTCCCAGATCAGAGGTAACATGCTGGGAAGCAATAGAAGAGAAGACTTCTTGCATTAAGCAATAGTTTTCCGAGAAGTATCCACTATGGAATCAACATCTTAAATTAGAAAGATTTGGCTTTACCAGGAATGGAAGTATAAAAATGTAAGAGTGTCACATTATTCCAGGATTTCTCAACCTTGAGACCTTTAAGATGCATGGACTTCAACTACCAGAATTTTGCAGGCAGCACCCTACTCCACACTTCAAAAAGTCCAATGTTAGGTATCTTTTTTTTAAAGTTTTTTATTTTTATTTTTCATAAACACATTTACATGTACAGTCATTTCCATCATTTTTCATTCATCTCTTCTTTTAACTTTCATTTTTCATTTTTACTTTTTCGGGGCTGCTCTTCTACCCTTTACCTTTACTGCAACCTTTCTTCTTCTCCTCCCCTTCTCTTCCCCTGTTTCTCCTCCTACTTCCCTCATTCTTCTTCTCCTTCTCTTTCCTACTTCCCCTTCTCTTCCCCCACTCCTTGCTTCTTCCCCCTTCTAACCTTCTTCTCTACTCCTCTTTCCCCTCCCTTTTCTTCTTCTCCTTTTCCCTTTCTTCTTTCTCCTCTCGTCTCCTCTCCTCTCTTTTCCCTTCCTCTCTCTCTACTCCTTCTCCTCTCTCCTGTTGTTTCCCTTTTCTGTTCAATCTAAAGTGGTATTTGAGCAGCCCCAATTTCCTAATTATCTTTATTCTCATTTCAATTTCTTATTCAATTATTATTTATTTTTATTTCATCATTTGCATACATTTTATAATATCTCACTTTTTTCCCTTTTACTCCACCCCCCTCCCCTTTCTCCTTTTACTTGGCATCATCTGTGTATCTATTTTTCTAATTGTTTTCACCCATCTATTCGCTATCTATTTTATCTCTATGTCCTTATTCATATTTCTTTTCTAACCAATCATAAAATTTATCCCATGTCTTGAAATACATCGACTCCTCTTTATCTTTTATTCTCAATGTTAATCTATTCATTTCTGCACATTCTAAAATTTTCTTTATAATATCTCCTTCCAACGGAATTTTATCTGCTTTCAGGTTTTGTGCAAATACAATTCTAGCCGCTGTTATTATATGAATAATCAATTATGTATCTTCTTTGCTATAATTCTCTGGTAAAATTCCCAATAAGAATATCTCTGGTTTTAATCTATATGTTGCTGCAATATTCCCTCAAACCATGTTTGTATTTTCACCCAATATTGTTTTGCTTCTTTACACAACCACCACATATGATAGTATGATCCCAGCAACTGATGACATTTCCAACACTTAGCTGATTTATCTTTAAACGTCTTAGCTAATCTTTCTGGTGGCATATGCCATCTATAAAACATCTTATACAGGTTTTCTTTATAGGCTGTTGCCATTGTTAATTTATAATTCCTTTCCCAAAGTTGTTGCCATTTGTCCAATTCTATGGTGTATCCAAAATTCTTTGCCCATGCTGTCATTGTTTCTTTTACTTCTTCATCTTCTAGTCTAATATGCAATAAATAATTATATAATTTCTTAATCATTTTCTCATCTGTTCCTGTCAATATTTCATCCAGTTCTGATTTCCCCAAGTTAAAGCCATATTGCCTACAATCTGCTTCATATCTTGATTGTATTTGTAGTCTTGTATACCAATCTATCTCAATTCCTTGACTCTCTAGTTCTTGTTTTTGTTTCAGTTCTCCCCGATCTGTCAAAATGTCTTTATATCTAACAATATTCCCCATGTTCACAATATTTGGGTATGTCACCGCTTCTATTGTAGAAAGCCACATTGGAATATTCAAATAATGTTTTTCTTTCACTCTCTCCCACACTGATAGCAAACCATTTCTTACATAATGCCTTTGGAAATATCCATGTATCCTTTATTTCCCGTACCATAAAAAGGCATGCCAACCCAGTTGTAAATCATGACCCTCCAATGTCAATAGTCTTGTATTCCTTAATAAAATCCATTCTTTAATCATGGATTAAACAACGTTAGATATCTTGAAAACCTAAAATTCTAATTTTGTTTCATCTGTAATCAGGGTACTCTAATCAATGGAATTAAAATCACTCAGGGTTCATTAACTGACATTTATATGAGAACATGTAGTATAAAACCACTTTCATATGGTTTTGGATACATGCATATCCAATTTTAGAGCATGTCACATTTTTCAACTTTCAATTTTCAAACAATAGGGGTGCCTTGTGACATGCCTTGTAAAAATATTTTGGTTACTGTCATATAATTTAGATGTGCTTGGTAAATAACTACATAAGTATCACAATTTTTTAACATTGTGTTTGTTTCATTATCCATATAATAAAGCCAATTTATATGTATCGGTAAAAATGAATGCAAATAAATGCCCTCATAAGTCATACACCGGCCAGAGACCCGGCAAGATAGATAGATAGATAGATAGATAGATAGATAGATAGATAGATAAATAGATAGATGATAGATAGATAATAGATAGATAGATAGATAGATAGATAGATAGATAGATAGATAGATAGATATAGATAGTCAGTCAGTCAGTCAGTCATGTGGCTACTTAATGATTGCTGAAACAAACAATTATTGTACAAGATTCTGCAAGGTTTTTCTTCTAGAACAGTTAATTCAATGGAAACCAAATACTGTCAAGGAAAGAGTTCCAGACTTGTGCAAATCTACACTCAGAAGCCTCATTGTTCTCATGTAACATATCCCTGGATATTTTGCTCGTGAAGGCACTCATAAAATCTTCAGCGAAAACAGTAATGTCATTTACCTGTACCTCATTTTCAACCTAGCCCAGGAGGGATGGGGGGGGGGGACAGAAGTGCCAGTTGCTTTTAATTTCTTGCTCCAGGGGCCCACATGTATACATACCTGTGAAGCCGGAGGTGATGCTTATGGTCGCGGATTAAATCTGGATACATGACTATCAAGTGTGCGCAGAGGAGCCTTCCTGCTCTCCGAATTTTGTTGGAGGAAGCCTGCAAAATAAAATGTAAGAGGGGCTACTGTACTTGATCTCATCTTCCGGCTATTCAAATGTCAGTGAATACTAATTTGGGCAGGAGGGCAAGAGGACAGAGCTGCTAGCCATGCTTTAAGAAGTCATCTCTAACCAAAGCATTAGCAGAAACACTTGCACTATGTTGATAAACACTTTGCAAATATATAGAACAGCATTTTTTATACAAATAAAAATAATTTCTTTTTTAAAAAAAAAATGAGAAAAGCAACCCTAAGCTCTAGAACTGTACTCCCAGAACGGAGATGGCCTATCTACATATCATCTTCCCATTCATATCACCCAATAAAGGGTATTACAACTCACCCTGCCTCCGATTCACATGGGTGTTCCATAACCATCATGCTTCGTAGCCATTGGTAGGCGGTCCTTGGCTTGCAACCATTTGTTTAATTACGGTTCAAAGTTATGACAGCCTTGGAAAAAGTGACTTATGGCCTACACTCACACTTAACAATCATCGCAACACTCCCACAGTCAGTGATCACAATTTGGGTGCTTGGCTACTGCTAGCTTGTATTTATGACTAGTTGCCAATTTCTGGGAAAAAGTGGCATAAAAACACCCATTGGGAAAACTGGATTTGGTTAATGATCATGTGATTGACTTAACGACTGCAGTGATTTGCTTAATAATTGCCATAAAAATGGTTGTAAAATTTGGTATGAATCAACTTATGACTACAAGAACATACGACAGAAATGTCAGTCACAACTGTGGTCCTAAGTCAAGAACAACCTGTAGTCTGATCCCTTGTGTCTTACAGGTGCATTTAAAAGTGCCTAGGAGCATGTGGGTGATAAAATATTTTAAAAACTAGACTGCCATAAAGAGATAATTCCTATAAAACTGTGTTTTTTAAAATGATCTCACCTCAAATGCATGTGTTTGCATCTTCTGAAAAGCTACTTAAAATCAGAGTTGTAAACAAATACATTTGAGCTTTGATTTTTTTAAAAAAATTAAATTTGTAAAATTTAAGCAGATTTTCAGGAGATGCAAACAGATGGTATGTGGGTGTTCCCATGTTTTGAAATGCCTGTTCTGAATTTGAATCCAAAAAATGTGCAACCTGAATTTGCATAATCTTGTATGTTCACAACAAAAACATCAATCAAGAATTAATAACCAGGATTCCTAAATATAAATGTTACATTCTTGTGGTCAATAGAATCAGTAAGGAACATGAGATGTCTCCAGCTCTTATAGTATGAATAAAGTAGGTAGTATTTTCATGTGATCACATTATTCTACAAGCACCAACTTATCATAATAATTAGAACAGCTCGCCCAGACTGCAGAAAGAATGTGTCAAACAGATAATTAACAAATTCAAAGCAGAATACAGATCTGAATGATGGACTTCCATTAGTAAATTCATTGCTGGCTGAGCTGCTTTACTATGTGTAGCGTTGCAATGAACCACAGAGGTCCATCTTCCAAAACTTGGAATCTTCTGGAGATGTTGGCATTACAACTATCAAAACTGCCTGGAATGGACAACTTTTGTAGGGGATACCTATTTAGAGATGGTGGTGCTAGAACTCAAGGAATGAGTGAGCTTTGTTACATTATAGCTGATACTTTTTTGTTTGCGCACATATCGTGTTTATTACCTGCTTTAGGTTGTGGCCAGGCACCAGAGTTGATTCACTCTCTGGAAGAGGAGTCTGGAAACAAAAACCAAACCAAAAATCAATAAATTTCTGTAGACATTTTACAAAGTGAGGAAGGAACTATCTCTTACATTTGTTAAGGCCAGGGCAATACAAATAGTATCCTCCATTCAAAGGAAATGACCAAGGGACCCGGTGTGAGATTTATTTTTATATTATGTTATACTGGCATATGTTAGTGTAGTTCCAAGTCTTATTTTAGAATCTGATTCATTTTTCATTACAGCTACCTACCTATGGCAGCTTCTGTGCACAAACACAAGCACACACCAGTTTTAAAAAAATCTTACAGCACTTTCAAACAGTTAGTTCTGGAGCTCCAGAAAATTCAATTATTTTCTACAATAATATGCAGTTTAAATGAGTAACAAAGCAGGAATCATAAATGGTTTAAAAAAAAAATTCAACTTTAACAAATCTTTAACAGATTAACAGAGTTGGAAGGGATCTTGTAAATCATCTAGTCCAATCCTCTACCCAAGCAGGAGAACCTACACCATTTTGGACAAATGGCAGTCCAGTCTCTTCTTGAAAGCTTCCAGTGATGAAGCTCCATAACTTCTTTTGTGTAAAAAGTTTTTTATTTTTATTTTTCATAAACGTATTTAAATGTACAGTCTCTTATTCATCATTCATCATTCATCTTATCCATTTACTTTCATTTGTTATTCGGGACTGCTCTTTTACCATTTCCTCTCCTTTATTTTACCACAACCTTTCCTCTTCCTCTTCCCTTCTCTTCCTTCTTATATCTCTTTCTACTTTCCTCATTCCTCCTCTCCTTCTCTTTTCTACTTTCTCTCTCCTTTCCCCCACTCCTCTCTTCTTCCTCCCTGTCTAACCCTCTCTCCTACTCTTCTTTCCCCTCCCTTTTCTTCCTCTCCTTTTCCCTCTCTTCTATATCTCACTCTCCTTTCCTCCCTACCTCCCTCCTTCCCTCCTTCCCTCTCTCTACTCCTCTCTCCTTTTCTACTCCCTTGTTTCCATTTTCAATTCAATCTAAAATGGTATTTGAGCTGCCCTGGTGTTCTATTCACCTACATCTTCATTTCAAATTCTTTTTGCTTTATAATTACATCTCTTTTATCATTCCTGTACCTCATTAATCAACCCATGTATCATCTGGGTACAACATTTTTGTGTCATCATTTTTATTTATTTATTTATTTATATGCCGCCCTTCTCCGGAGACTCAGGGCAGCTTACAAGGCGTTAAGCAATAGTCTTCATACTTTTGTATATTTTTTTTATACAAAGTCAGCTTATTGCCCCCACAAACCTGGTCCTCATTTTACCTACCTTAGAAAGGATGGAAGGCTGAGTCAACCTTGAGCCTGGTGAGAATTGAATTTGCAGTAATTGCAGGCAGCTGGAAGTAAATACTACCTTTTAACAGTAGCATTAGTCTGCTGCACTGCACACTCAGGCTCCTAGATCATTTTCAACATTTATCATCGTTTTCTTAATGCGTACATTTATCTTTCCTCTTTCATTTAATTTTAACGTACTACAACATATTCTTCCCAAAATTCTTACTTTTACATTATTTATTGTCTATACTCGCTTTCTATCCATTGATAAAATTTCCCCCATATATTGTAATACTCTGACTCTTCTTTCCCTTTAATTGCCAATGTCAATCTATTCGTTTCTGCACATTCCAATATTTTCTTAATTACCTCTCCCTTTGTAGGGGTTTTTTCTGCTTTCCAATTTTGTGCAAATACCATTCTTGCTGCCGTTATTACATCTCCCATAACTTCTTGAAAGCAAGCTTCCACCTTCTTTGACTGCTTTGATGTGAATAAAATGATACTGTAACCAAATATGGCATTTTTTTAAAAAAGGAGAAAGGAATATTCCACTGGCATTTACTGTAGAAATATCATTTTTGCTGCTCTTTTTCACAGCAAGCATGTGTCTTTCACGCCAAAGCAGCTGAAAATGAACATTTATCAACCTATCTTGATACATAGATAGCTGTACCTAGATACATGTACAAGCCTGACTTTACAAGCAGATGGAATCGAAGGGAATGTAAAACAAAAATTCGTTCGAAAAGAGGCAAGTGGTCATGTTTTTAAAAAGATCAGATAATCCCAGTCAAGAGAGTGTAGATTCTTCGCATTAAAAGCAACCATGAATAAATGCAAACAATTTTCTCATAGGAAATAGGCTTAATCTAGCCATGTATATGAAGTGAACAAAAGAGGCAGGATTTTGCTCTTCCATGTTTTTCCAAAATTGAAAAATAAATGAAATACAGGGTTGTGAGCATCATGAGAACTACAGTTGATTACTAATAGGGTAACATCACCTTAGCCAAGATAGATGGAAATATTGATATAGGCTGCTTTGATATAATAGAATTTTTTAAACATGTAAACTCCCCCACCCTCAAAAAAAAAAATCAGAACATTTTAATCAGTTTTTCTTGTTCCCTTCCTTCCACACCCTCTTCTACTAATTGTGACTCACACTGATTTCCAATTCTGTGACTTGCAAAGGAAGAAGAGCCCCAGTTCAGACCTTTCTGCAGCTGCTGAGCATATATTATTTTGCTCATGGAGAACTACAGTCATTTTGAGAGAAAGTCCAATTAACATTTGATGAGGAATGGTATTATATTACAGTCATAGGTCAGGCATAGAAGCTATAACTAAAAGCAACTTTAAAAAGTAAAATAAACATTTGAAGAGATAATTTGAACTCCCATTTCAATCCCAAAGAAAACTCAAATGCACATCCCTGCTTAACCAGCACTTGTAGAGGCTTTGTGGTTATTCACACACAGTACTCCTTGAAAACCCACAACGTAAGAGATAAATGGCTGGGTGGACACTCAATTGCTACAACAGCCTTTTCAAATGGCATGTTGGTAGGCAAATCAGACCACATTCATTTCTGATTATATAAATTGGAAAAACTGTGGGAGTGTTTTTGTAGTCCCTTCTTGAACTCACATGCTTTGCCAATAACCCAGGGATGGTGACTTGGTGACCCAGCATATGTTGCCAAATGACAAATTTCAACAGCTCCCACTAGCATGACCAATTCTGAAAACATCTGGAAGGATACAGATTCTCCAACCCTGACATACAGTAATGGAAATGTGACGGTATCAGGATGTCACCAACAAATGCTTATCAGGGAGATAAGGGAGTGAAGGAAAGAACATTGTTATATGATCGTTGAGGATCATATAATGTATATTTGCTGGAGGTTATGGTGTTACATCTGTGTGTAGAAAATAAAACCACAAAGAAAATACCAATATCCCTGTTTCCCTGTGGATACCAAGGATGTACAGTCTGCTGTTGCTGAAAAATATCATTACTACAAAGATGTGAAAGTTCAAGCAGTGTTTTTTTATGGACAGCAGAATGGGAAGGAATGGCATTTTGATTTTTTTCCCCCTCTCAGCCCCCTCTTGGGCCAGCTGTGCGTAAACAGAAGAAATTAAATGACATGACAAGCAGGCAGCAAACAACAAGAGTTACTCCCTTTGACACTTCAGCAAACTGCAGAGTGGCTTGGCTGGAATGCTCCGGAATGCTGAGTGCTATAACAAGAGCCCACGAAAACATTTCAATAAACACAACTGTATTCCTCACATTCTTTTCAGTAGCTGCTTTAGATACTGATCAGCTTGCAACATGGACATGAAAGATTAGCATTTTTCTGGCACAGACGGCCAGTTTATATTCAACACAGAAGAAGAAACCAAGAAAGAGGAAGGACAGTGGAAGTTCGGATTAACATCTGGCAAAACACAAAAGTGAAATCCGAGATAAGGCAAACACGGTTAACCGTGGAATAAAAACCCATTGAACACAGTGTGTAGTAACTTATTTCAAAATAAAAATGCATAGGAAGCAGTAGTGGGTTGCCCCCGGTTCGGACCGGTTCGCAAGAACTGGTAGTAAAACCGGCAGGAGGCTCTGCCCACTGACCCGGATGTCATCATAGGTGATCTGTGCATGCGTAGAAAAGCACGCGCAGGCGTGATGTGAACTGATAATAAAGGTAAGTAGAACCCACCCCGATAGGAAGGCATTGTATGATTTGATGCTGAAGACAGCAGGCAGCAGCTGAGTTCATACATCATGCTACAAGGCACCTTATACATGGCATCTTCTTCAGCAAGCTATTATTAAACATTGTAGGGAAAGCAAAGTAGCAGGTGTGCTATTGTGGTACTTTGGAGCAGAAAGCACCTTGACATACCATGCTGGTCCCAAGAAGTCTGATGTCATTAGCAAAACTAAACTCTGTTAGCTGAAGAGCACATTCTAATTAGGCATCCAAGAATCACACTCAACCAGATGATTTACTTAAAAACTTCAGTGATTTGCTTAACCACCAGCAAAAAAATCATAAAATTGGCCGTAACTCGTCTTACTTAAGAATGGAAATTCTGGCCCCAATTGTGATCACATGTCAAGGACTACCTATATCTACCTACACAATCCTATCCCAGTGCCTCAGTAAAAAAAAAGTCAGGTCTCAACAGCTTTCAAAGGCTAAAAGGTTGGGAGCCTGTTGAATCCCTGGTTGCATCTTACTTCCAGGACCCATCACTAAGAATAAAGTGGCACATTCTCTCTTCAGCCCCTCACAGCCACCACACAAGAAGCCACCGGCCTCCACTGTTGCTCCTTCTGAAATCCAGAGTTTCGTCCTCTCCACCTTGGCCCAGCAATATATCTTATTTTTCTTTAAGCCCGGGGGGAGGGGGGTGTCCAACCTTGGCAACTTTAAGACTGGTGGACTTCAATTCCTAGAATTCAACTTAATTTCAACTACCAGCCATCATGCTTTAAAAACCTAATCAGATTCAGTTCTCCCCTCTCTTTCTCCACTGAACTCCATCAGATCCAACATTATCTATTTGTAGTCTTCACTTAACAACAGAAATTGGGACTGGAAACTCCATTGTCAAGCAATGCCATCATAAATTGAAAAATCATATGACCACACTGCTTAATGATGGC